CTGGCATTCTATCTGGAATATCTTCTGGCATATTATCTGGCATTCTATCTGGCATATCTTCTGGCATATATTCTGACATATCTTCTGGCATTCTATCTGGCATTCTATCTGGCATTCTATTTGGCATTCTATCTGGCATATCTTCTGGCATATCTTCTGACATTCTTTCTGACATTCTTTCTAATTTTCTTCTGCACATTCTTTGTCCCATATCTTCCTACATGAGGTCCGGCAGGGAACACTTGGCGTGGATACTCGCGGTTGAGGTCCGGCAGGGAACACTTGGCATGGATCCTCGCGGTTGAGGGCCGGCAGGGAACACTGGGCGTGGATGGTCGTGGTTCAGGTCCGGCAGGGAACACTGGGCGTGGATGGTCGTGGTTGAGGTCCGGCAGGGAACACTGTGGATCGCGGGTTCGCAGTTGAGCAAGGACGACGAGGACGACGAGGGACGACAAGGACGACAAAGGATGACAAGGAGGACGAGGAGGAGGAGGAGAGGAGGACGAGGCAGGAGGAGGCGGAGGAGGAGGAGGAGGAGCAGGAGGAGGAGGCAACTGACATAAAATCTAACAACCCTCACCTGGCAGGTGGGGAATGAAACCATCCACAAAATTGGGTTTATGGGTTTAAGAGGACCATTTTCGGTTGAAACCATGGTTGTTACTTCCAAATTTGCTGGGGGTTCCTCTAGATGTTCCCTTCAACCACTTCTAGGCTTTGGGACAAGTGTTTCTGTGTTTTTTTAACATATGCAGATGCATTTTTTTTGGAGAGCTTTTTAGTGAAACCATCTCGCACTATCTCAAGCAAGAGGGCGACCGTGGTGACTTTTTGGTGACTGTGGTGACTGGAGGCCCAACTCTCCTTGGAATACATGCGTGTGTCACTCTCTACCCTCCAAAGTGGAGGCTGGACCGGCGGAGCGGGGAGCAGGATCGCTAAGCGGTTTTTTGGATTGGATCCAGTGACAAAGAATGGAACATTCGTGCCCGGGCTGGCGAATCATTTTAAGGGAATGTGGTCTGTTGGATGGTTGCAACTGGATTTTTTTGAAGAACTTTGATTAAGCAGAGACTTAGAGAGCTTGGAATTCGTTCTTAGAACTTTGATCATGTACAGAGTTACAGAGTTTAGATAGGAGAGAAGGGAAATTCCAAAGATCAAACGTTCCTGAGCCACTCAGAGTTTCTCCAAGCTTTTTTTCCGTGTGCAGATCACAGAGTCAGCCAACATGCCAGGCACAACAACTAAGAGCATGATTTTGGTGCCAGCCTCAGTGTGAGCCAACATTTTCCTTCTTTGATGGCCATGACTCGGCCCTGTCATCGGCCACACGTTGGACGACTTGCGCGATGGTTTTCTCTGCTACAGAAGATCCATGATATCCATGTAGTTTATTACAATCCAAACTACCCTCTGGTAATTTGTTACAGTTCGCCATGGAAGCCATGGCTTATTTAGTTCGATGATTTACTTCTGAAACATGGTGATTTTCCGTAGCCATAGCTATGTTAAAACACATAGACATAGACCCTGAGAATTGCCGATTCCATGTTCGGAGACCGTCGTCTTCCAAGCCCCAACAAAAGTGGGTGGCCAATCCCTGAAGTCATCTGGTCGTGAGATTATTATCGGGACAATTTCAAGATGTAGTGTGGTAAACCCAATCATAAATTCAAAAAGCTGGTTTAAGTATGTTTAAGCATGTTTAAGTTATATCACATCAGATTATACCATGTGCTGTTGAGAGGTTATAGGTTGTTCTTCAATATTCAAAGCCCAAAAAAGGATCCAATCGGTGCATGATGTATCTGCCAGCAGGATGATGATTGGATTGGATTCCATATCCGTGTTCCAGAAAAACTAGCCTCTGATAATTTGTTACATAGCTATTGAATATTGCCATAGAAATAGTGGATTTACCTATTGAAATGGGTGATTTCCCATAGTTATGTAAACGTTTACCGGATGGTATTCCATATCTATGTTAGTTTGGAGTATGGTTTTTCTGTGCCATGGTCTGATTTGTCGGGTTACAACTCAAAGGCCAAACAAAGGGGATTTATGTCACACATCCATGCTCACAGACATGAACATATACCCTCTGGTTATTTAAGATAGCCATGGAAAGATCCACCATTTTTAATCCCTACCCCCTATTAATAAACGGCCCCCCCCCCTCCCCCCCCCCCTAATAATAAAATTCGAAATTTTGGGAACGCATTCTTTTTATTAGGGGGGTGTTTCAGAGTGGCGCTATCTGTTGTAATAAATTATGTTGCCTGATGACTGATTCTCTTTGAATTTGCAGGAGTTCTTATGATGAAGCTACCAAGATACCATATTATGTTTGGCCATGTTTGCCTCGCATTGGCATGATCTACGACTGCTTCGATTACTACCACGCTTGCTTCGACCATCACTACCCTCGCCATAGCAGCACAACGAATTACATATTTTTTCTGTCGTTCGACGACAATGGCTACTACTCTTACAAAATCCTTACATGCCCCCAAACCTTCACATGCAAAGCCTGAAAGACTCTGACGATGATCACAACTGAAACTGTGATTTCACCACTGACACAATGCTGATTACACGACTACCATCCTCGTGACGATGATCACAACTGCCATGACGCCCCTTCGATGCAGCATTCTTCCCCTTCAAACCAATTTTCTCGTTTGTATTATCGGCCAAGGGACAAAGGCTAGTGTGGAAGGGGGGCAAAGAAGCCAGGAGTAAAGGAATGAAAGAAAATCCAGTAGCAGCACACGGACTTTTTCTTAAGGCATCAAAGCAAACCGGTGCGCCCCCCTCCCTTTGTCTCATTCGAATAATTAGTGCATTTTCAGACTTGTTTCAGACTGTTTCAGAGTGTTTTTTTAAAGGACTTCAACCTCAAGAAACTGACTTCTTCTACTACGACCACTACTTCTTCTTCTACTAGTACTACTAGTACTACTAGTACTACTAGTACTACTAGTACTACTAGTACTACTAGTACTACTAGTACTACTAGTACTACTACTACTACTATACTACTACTACTAGTACTACTACGACCACCACTGCCACTACTAGTACTACTACTCCTAGTACGACAACTAGTACTACTTCTTCTACTACTACTTCTTCTTCCACTCGTACTACTAGTACGGATACTATTACTAGTGATACTTACGATGCTACGACCACGACGTTTACTACTGAGGCATTGGGTGTAAATGACTACCCGCCTTGACGATGATCAGAACTGAATCTGATTCCACCACTGACGCAAGGCTGATTACACCACTACTACCTTCGTGACGATGATCACAACTGCCACGACGCCCCTTCGATGCAGCATGCTTCCCCTTCAAACCAATTTTGTAGTTTGTATTCTTTGGCCAAGGGACAAAGGAACATGTGGAAGGGGGGCAAAGAAGCCAGGAGTAAAGGAATGAAAGAAAGCCCAGTAGCAGCACATGGACTTTTTCTTAAGGCATCAAAGCAAACCGGTCGGCCCCCCCCCGACCTTGTCTCATTCGAATAATTAGTGCATTTTCAGACTTGTTTCAGACTGTTTCGGACTGTTTATTTAAGGGACTTCAACCTCAAGAAACTAACTTCTTCTACTACGACCACTACTTCTTCTTCTACTAGTACTACTAGTACTACTAGTACTACTAGTACTACTATTACTACTACTACTACTACTACTACTACTAGTACTACTACTAGTACTACTACTAGTACTACTACTAGTACTACTACTAGTACTACTACTACTACTACTATTACTACTACGATTACTACTACTACTACTACTACTACTACTACTAGTACTAGTACTAGTACTAGTACTAGTACTAGTACTACTACTACGACTACTACTACGACTACTACTACTACTACTACTACTACTACTACGACTACTACTACTACTACTACGTACCACTAGTACTAGTACTAGTACTAGTACTACTACGACCTACTACTACTACTACTACTAGGACTACTACTCCTAATACGACAACAAGTAGTATTACTTCTACTACTACTACTTCTTCTTCCACCCGTACTACTAGTACGGATACTATTACTAGTGATACTTACAATGCTACGACAACGACGTTTACTACTGAGGCATTGGGCGTAATGACTACCCGCCTTGACGATGATCAGAACTGAAACTGATTCCACCACTGACACAAGGCTGATTACACCACTACTACCTTCGTGACGATGATCACAACTGCCACGACGCCCCTTCGATGCAGCATGCTTCCCCTTCAAACCAATTTTGTAGTTTGTATTCTTTCGGCCAAGGGACAAAGGCTAGTGTGGAAGGGGGGCAAAGAAGCCAGGAGTAAAGGAATGAAAGAAAGCCCAGTAGCAGCACATGGACTTTTTCTTAAGGCATCAAAGCAAACCGGTGCGCCCCCCCCCCCCAATAGTAGATTTTCAGACTTGTTTCGGACTTGTTTCAGACTGTTTCAGACTTGTTTTTTAAGGACTTCAACCTCCAGAACCTTGCTGTCGCAAAATGGCAATCACAGTACGTGTAGAAGGCCCACCATTAATTACAGTAATCAAATTCCTTGGGAGACTCGGCCGGAAACCGGTAAGTAATTATTTTCCACCACTATGAGGCTTTATGCCAGGTGCCCTGTGAGGAACTCAAGGCGACCTCATGGAGGGCTAAAACTAAATGGAAGTGGACTGGTCCGGGCAATCCGTTCTGGTGTCCTATACATTGAACATGCTCTGCCGCTCACCAGACATAAAGTCAATTGTTACTAAGTGGATGTTCAAAAAAATATGCGTAAACAACTTGCATTAGCCATAAGTATATACTGTGTTGTAGGCCTTTGATTTGATGATTTGAATGTGCTGAAGCTGCACATGGAATTTGTCACGTCGCAACATTGTCGACGCGTCGCTGTCGACGGGTTCAAGACGGGCACGGAACCCCTTGTGCCCCGCTCTTATGTGGCATCCGTCGGGGATGTTTCGGACCTGTTTCAGACTGTTTCAGGCCTTTTTGGGCCATGCGCAACACTTGACACAGTTGCCAGTAAAGAACCAAACAATTCTACCAGTAGTGGTAGTAGTAGTAGTAGTAGTAGTAGTAGTAGTAGTAGTAGTTGTAGTAGTAGTAGTAGTAGTAGTAATGGTAGTGGTAGTGGTAGTGGTAGTAGTAGTGGTAGTGGTAGTGGTAGTGGTAGTAGTAGTTGGAATTGTAGTTGTCATTGTAATAGTAGTAGTAGCAGTCGTAGCAGTGATAGTTGTAGCAGTAATGATGGCTTCTCGTAAGCGGTTCCCCAGCAGGTATGGGTCCCGACCGGGCTGTGGCCGAACAGGAACGGGCAGAGAGGCCAGGTAATTGTAGTTGTAGTAGTAGTAGTACTAGTAGTAGTAGTAGTAGTAGTAGTAGTAGTAGTAGTAGTAGTAGTGGTAGTGGTAGTGGTAGTGGTAGTGGTAGTGGTAGTGGTAGTGGTAGTAGTAAGTAGAAGTTGTTGTTGTTTCTGTAGTAGTAGTAGTAGTAGTACTAGTAGTAGTAGTAGTAGTAGTAGATGTAGATGATCTAGGGGTGGCAGGAATAGCTTTTATTGTTGAAGCCACGAGACCCTTGCCCGACATGAAATAATTCGGGTCACTATTTCAAAGCCACGGTGGTCCCCTTGTCGCATCAGGCCAGTCAGGCGGATTCGTTGCTGCTCCTGCCAATTCACAGCAAGAACCCTCAGCATTGGACCTTGCTCTGCCTCAAGAAGTCACAGCAGACAGTGCATGTGACCTATGTCGACACCTTGGAAAAGCAGGCAGACACAGCAGTGGAGGCAGCTGTGCAGGCACTCAGCTTTGTCAGAGCAGATCTGCGGTTGCCACCCCGTCAGAACCGCACGCTTCAGTCAGATGGCTGGTCCTGCGGCTTGCTTTGCCTACAATGGTGTGAGAGACAGTCCAGGGATTTCATGAAAGTGGGGCAGCTTCCCTACGTCAGCTCAGGACGTCAGCTGGCAGTCAGGCTCATGGAATGGCTCGCCAGGCTGTTGCAACAGCGGCACTTGATGGAAGCGAAGGCAGCAGAGGGAGACAAGCCAGTGAACACAGACATGCCTCCCTTGCCACCTCCAGACACGCCGCCGCCTCCATGTGTGCCAGATGAGCCCGCAAAGACAGAAGTGTTTGGTTGCTCGAAATGCAAAATGCTGAAGTCAGGCTGCTTGGCCTGTAACCCAGCCAAGACCGTGAAACACTTGGTGAAAACGCAGCCCGAGCTTTTCCAGTCAGAGGATTAGACAGGGCAGCTGCGTCAGATAAGCCTCTTGTGCAGACAGGCAAACCGCATGGAAGTAGACACTCTTGTCAGCCCTGCTGAAAAGATTTGCCCGGTGCTTGCATTTTTCCTTTGACGAAGCATTTGACATCTTGGAAGAATCAGACCTGCTGTTTCAATGTGCATCCCTATCACTATCCGAGTCAGTGAAAGCATGTTGTGTCTGAGATAATTATACTATGCAATCCCTAGGTCACTATCTTTCCTTACTTGGTATAATGCTGCAAAGCTTCTCAACCTGGTGACTGTCGGTGATCGCCAGGTGCATCCGGTGCTGGAACAGGACATGGTGAGAGGGCTGTGACTGCTTTCGTTGAGAATGGAGAACGGCTGGGCTGCGGAGCCTGCTTGGGGTTCGGGTCCCATACGAATATCATGCTAAACGGTTCTCCAGTGCGGGAACAGCCACAAGATTGTAGCGAATTGTCATCATAGTTGGGTAGATATTTTAATGGCGAATTGTCAATGCTATCTGTTCCTTTCAACAGCACTAGTTCTTGGAAAAAGGGACCCGCTACTCAACTGGCGGCAACTTTCTTCGGAGTAACATGTTGATGAGGTGCAAAAAAACAGGACACGCGCAGGCACCCTAGTCTTCAAACCCAAATCAGCTGTAATAATTACCCATTAATAATACACCTACTAGTAAGTTGAAGCATCGAAATCCATTCCAGACCGAAGTACAAATTCTATCCAAATCAAGGTGATTTTATCAAGTCAACCATATTTAATGGGCCTTGGTGCTCCGTCTTTTGAGATTGCACCAATGATGGGGTCCTCGAAAAGTTCGATTGCTGCTAGGATGCCCCCTAATAAGCTCGACGAGGCGTGTTAATTTATTCTCGGCTCATGTAGTATTGGTTTTCAATAGGCGGAATGGAAAAACAATTAAAAAAAAATGGTCCCGAGCGCCGGCATTCTTTTTATTAGGGGGACCTTTATTAATAGGGGGTCGAGATTAATAGGTAAACCATCTATAAATGGGCCATTTTCCATGGCTATGTTAAATAACCAGAGGGTAACCTTTACCTTTAAAAGGATTTCCATGGCATGGGATGGATGACAATAAACCATTAATATATATTAATATAGTGTAACTTGACCATGGCCAATATATCATCTTCATTCATTTTCCATATCTTCTTATATTCATTATGTTGGATCACTGGACTTGGTGCAGTTCCACTAATAAATGGCTTATATCACACTAGTTGTAGGGGTCCAAAAAAAAACCATCTTATGGAGATCCACTTACCATAGTTGGGATATCACCCATAAAGGGATCTGGGTATACCATCTTATGGGATACCCACATGGGATATACGGAATAAAGGACCCATCTTATGTTTATGGCTATAACTGGGATATCACCCACAGTCACATCCCCCCTGACCACCCCCAAGGATCGTCATCCGCAGCAGGTCACACAGTGCCCTTCCATGCTGGCCCTGGGTGCCTGCGCTGCCATGGCGCGGAGCATCGTGGTGCGGTCCCTGCGGGCAAACCCACCGGTGAGTGTAGTTGGAATACTATAGCTTAGATTTATATAACACCAAAGGCATACATGTTAGGTTAGATTGAATACTGTAGTTGGAATAGTTAGAACATCAACGTCTTTTCAAATCGAAAATCGCAATCTTTGAATTATAACATCTGATAATGAATTTGATGTTCGAAGTGATCACTTAGAACATCCTACCCCCACCCCCTGTGCACACTTGTAACATATGTAAAAGGGAAAAAAACCATTTGCTCCAAGTGTGTTAATGTGCACGGAATCAATCACCATCTTATTCACACATGATCACACGTGTGTTGTTCCTGCAGGCAAAGCAAGAAAGCAGGTAACATTGCATGGTTTTTCACTTGTATATTATATGTGCATCTATAATCATATTTAGGCTTCCATATATACATAGTAAGGTATCAACAGAAGCCTGATCATGACTTGACCCCCCTTACAAGTCTTATTTGTTTTAGTATGGTGGACAGTGGACAATCACTTAGAACATCCACATGCCCCCCTGTCAATGTTCTAAGTGTATCACTTCGAACATAGTGCTTGATGTTCTTAGTGGTGTTGTTCTAAATATATTAGCTTAGACATGATCTACTGTAAAAGACAATTTTTGTTCCAAATAAGGTTCTAAGTGATTGTCCGTCACTATACTGTCGTTTTAGCACATAGTTTGATGATGGAACGCAACTTCATAACCAACAAAGATGTGGGTTTACAACCGATTCATCTTTGCAGTGTTGGTTTAAGCAACGGAAATGGGGCTTTAACCAACATGCAGGTCACCAACTGGTATCAACCACCTTTTTTTCAATGGGGACAAGCACCACGGATCAACAAGACATGGGGTCCTAAAGCCAAATTTTCAGGCAACTTTCATGGAAATGTGAGTCTTGAAACCATTGGATGCAAAGGGGTCCTCCGTTTTTGAACACACCATTTTTTTTGGGCACTCAATTTTGGTTCACAATGCATCAGAACCTTCTGTAAATAATATTAAATACGTATCCTATTGGTTAGTGTCCCCTGCAATAATCAAGCTCCGATGACTGGACAGTCCCCTGTAAATAATCTTCCGGTATATATTTTATTATGTTCCTATCAAAAATGAGGATTTGCCCCCTGCCAGTGGCATCAGGATAGATTACCAGAGGGTACTCAATTTTGGTTCATTATCCTCAAGTCTTAGTAAATTGGCAGATAGATTTATTCTGCAGTGATGAATCATCGCATATATGGCGCACAATTCAATTTAGACATCCATCTGCAGTCACTTGCGTATATAGCTGTGCATTTTTTGGAATCGATAACAATTGGCTCCGACATTCAGGCACGTTGTGTTGAATCGAATGTGACCACTGAATTTTGGGTTGCAAATAGCCAAAATGGAATATGTCTCTGAAAGGTCAATTTTTAAATGTACCACTTAGGCCACTGAAGTTTCTTTCGATCTCTGAAGCTTCTTTGAATGGCCAGTTAATGTACAGGGATTGCTCTTTAAATGGCCTTTGAATGCTGTGAATTAAACCATTTAGCAACATTTTGCAGAGATTGCTTTCCAAGACCTCTGAAGCTTCTTTTCTTTTTCCAGGGTCTCATCACTACCAACAATCTCCTGGCCATGGAAGGTTCTCACCGCTTTCGCCGTCGCAGGTGTCAACGGGTGGTAAAAAACCCAGCCTGCAGTCGATCTGCAGTTGGTGGGGCGCTAAGGGAGGCGCCGGTGATGCTCGGTGGTTTCAACTTCCCAGTGGTTTCAACTTGGGGAAATTCTTCAAAAAACCCAAAAGTAATCAATCTCATCCAATCAATTGGTCATTTTCAAGTTGGGAAACGATGAGTTTTGGCTGCTTCGTTTCTGTCAAGCCGATTCAAGTCTTCCAGACTTCGGGCAACTCCGGCACTTTTTGAGGTAACATGCCTTTCTGTTGTAACGTACGAGTAGGGGGCACCAAAGGCACCTGCACAAATTATTCAGATGAAGACATAGCAAAATAGCACCTATCAGTCACAACAGATCATGACATATAATGGATCTAAGTATATAAGTATTGAAACTTAATCATGAATCATTATGCATCTGGGTTTGTCTGAAAATCTGCTAGCCCAGAATTCGCACAGAAAAATTGCTATTTGGGAGGGTTAGCCCAGTTTCAGACACAGCCACATCCATTCTTCATTGGTGACATCTCTGTTGTTGATTGTTAAATACAGCTGTTTGTGGGAGTTAACTCCATGTTTTTCATGGGCAAATCCATGTTTTTCATGGGTAAATGAACATATTTTTGGATGCTGCAGCAGATTGAGATCTTGAATTTTTGTTCATGTTTAAGCCCCTATGTTTCCATGCTTAGATCATTACAGATCCCAGCTCAACTTGAGGCTGGAATTCTTCCTGGAAGTCGCAGCCGAACGCCAGGGAGCCTTGCATCTAGGCGCACGGTTGACTTTTCTTTGACAAACTAACGGATCCCAGGATTTTTGACACTGCAGGAATTACGGAAGCAAATTTCAAAAGAATTATTTTCTGGTTGGTGGCTTCAAACATTTTTTATTTTCCATAATATATGGGATAATCCTTCCCATTGACTAATATTTGTCAGAGATTATTTGGGTGTCCGAACTGTCGTTTTTTTTTTTTTCATTTTTTCAGTTTGTTCTTACTGGATTTCAACCAAGTGGAAACCCGATGAAATTTCCCTCATTGCTTCAACCATTCCGTTAAACCGTGGTGACTACTTAGAGGATCTTTCTGGACAGAAGTAGGTGCGGGTTTGCAAGATTTTACAACATTGGATTTGCCAATGTTATGTGTGTCTGCGCTTGATTATGGAAGGGTTGAGGGTTCAACGACTTTGAATTTTGAAATGCCTGAAATCACAAGCACCACTATTGCAAGAGGTTCACTGGTAACAAAAAGTGTTTCAACAAAATAACGTGTTTCAGCAATACTGCCAGCACAAGAGATGCGGATTGTTGTGGGAAAGAGAAATCTAAATCCACTTCTGACCTGCCAGTACGGAACCAGGTTCATAAATACACCTCTTATCCTTCGCATTTCGGTAATTGTGCATCAAAGCTTATGACACCTTCCATGCGTTTGGACATGATCATCCACCTACACCAGCTATAGATGATTTTCATGTGAGCGTTTTTAGGGGATTCCATGGCTTTTCCCATGGAATTGTCCCAGTTCCGGTGCAGGTTACCCGTGCCCTTTGCTGACCTACCTGGGAGTGGTGCTCTGGGGCATCCTGAACTTCCTCCCCTGGGGCCTGATGGTGCGCTGCGAAATATGGGATCAATGGGATCCACCAGGAGCCTGCGGATCGATGGAGAAGATATACCCTCTGCTAATGACTAACGGTTTGCTATTGAAAATGACCATTTAGAGTGGATTTACCCATTAGAAATAGTGATTTTCCATGGCTATGTTAGTTTACCAGAGGGTATCCTATCAGCGTAAGAACCAGCTAGAATTTTTGGTGTAAAAACATATATGAGTCCATGTAATTCTAGCAGGCTGTGACTGGGTATGACCATGTTTGCCAGCATATTCAGAAATGGATCTCATTCAGAAAACTGCTGACTTCCAGCGGTTTCCAATTGGAAGCTGCAGGTGATCCCCTGCAAGTGGCTGGTGGAGCGCTACTTTGGCCCCGATCCCATTGTGGCGCAAAAGGCGATTCTTTTCTTCGATTCGAGCAGTTTTTTTTGTTCGCAAAGCAACAATAAACCAGCAACATTTTGGTGCTTTGTACAACCCATACATTTTGCAATTTTTGGGAGAATTATAGGAGAATTATGGAAGGCTTGGGGATGGTTTATGATTCTATGATTGTTAACCTCTAACACTAATGATGTTTTCAAGCCAACCTTTAGCAGTGCAGATTCCCCTCCTTCGGCTTTGCGCTGCAACGCCGCGACTCTTTGCAAGGCGTCCCTGAGTCGAGTGTCTCGAGACCTCAAACAGTGCACGCCTGAGCGGTGTGCCACAGCTACAACTGGGACTGTGGGACTTTAAGTTGGAATGAATACAATGCATTAATTGGAATATATTCGAATAATTATCCTTCAATTATTTAATTGGTTATTGAATTGGTTATTTGAAGTTGCACTGATTGAATCACTTATATTCTTGGATCAAAATTGCATCTTGAAGTAAAGAACACCAGCATAGAACATTATAGAACCCAGTGGAGGACACTCTGTGCACTTTCAGAGATGCTTTCTGCTGCCAGTGTTGAACTCGATTTCTTCAGAATCCAAGCCACCTTCGGAGACCTTGCACAAAACAAGGTGCTTTCTCAACATTTCTTAACATTTCACAATATTTCAACCCAAAATTCATTGGCTGAGACTCAGACTTCATCCAGCAGAGAACAGCCCAAGCCTGGTGTCTCATTGTTGCCCAAACATTGAGGAGACGATGAACTTGCTGACCGTGAAGAAATTTAGCCCCAATTTTTGCCCAATCTGTACCATTTAACCCTCAGGTAATTTAACATAGCCACGGAAGATTACCCATTTCTGGATGATTTACTGCTAAGCAGAACCGTTTTCCTTTCATTATTTTGGGGATTAATCATAAATGGCATAATCATAATTCTATTGCTAGGGAAGAGCATTACAACCCATTGTAAATTAATTATCTCCCGTATACAATTCGATATTTCCAACAATTGCGATTCCAACGACTGTGATAAAGATGATGAAGATGACGATGGATGACGAAGACGAAGACGACGACGACGAAGACGAAGACGATGATGATGATGATGATGATGAGGACGAGGACGACGACGACGACGACGACGACGACGACGACGACGACGATCACGATCACGATCACGATATACGTATAATATATATATATATAGATACTCTATACTCTAGTGATTCCCCACAAAAGATAGATAAAATGACCCTCAGGTCAGAGCGCGGCCGATCTGAGTTGGCCGAAGCTCCACAAAGCCGGGGCCCCCGGGGGCCCCTGGGGGCCCCGATGCGGAGACGAAACGTATCGAAACGTGGAAGACATGGGGGATACCATGGGATATTTCATGGAAATATAGATATAACTATAGATATATCATAGTATATATCCAGTGAATATATCATAGTATAGATGTATCATAGTATATATATCATAGTTAACGGATAATTAGAATATATCATAGTATATAGATATATCCAATGAATCTATCCATAGTAGTTATTCAATCTATATGGAAGACGAACGAAATATGGGTTCCCCAAGCAAAGATTGGCTTGCAAGTCTTACTTATGGTCCATCATCTTGGTTATAGAAATTAATATGTTTTAATAGTGTGGTCAGTGTGGTTAAAAAGCAATGGGATGATAATTTGATGATGCTAGGTTATAACCCATACTTGTATATACTGTAACTGGGGTTATGGTACACTAATTTTCTGAGAATATGATGTCATATGTCCATCTTGGAACGAGTAAACAAATAACAAATATATATATATATTTATACACACACACACATGTAACACCGGGTTACATGTGGTTATAGTTGTTGTTCTCCAGCAAACAAACATCGGGCCAGCTATATATATATATGGTTTGACAATCAAAAGTGCAACCTTTTTGAGGTCCGTTTCTGCATGCTCAGTGTTTCAGTGGAACGAGTTGCTTCTTCCATTTCCAGACAGTGGCGATGTTTAAATCATCGATGGAACATCTCCCAGTTATCGATGAATTATCCGTTCCCAGCCGTGTTTGATGGCAGATATGGCAGCGAGTAACATCAGTTGAGGAGCCAATGAGTTCTTTGCCAACATGGAAATCTCCTCCCTTTGGTGGAGAGTGGGATGCTCAGTTGGGTCCAATGGTGAAACAAAAACCGTGACCCGTGATTGGTGGATGGTTGAAATCCCACCCATAGAAATTATGATTTTGGGGTGGTTTATTATTGGGTTTACCACATGAAACAACTTTCAGCCATTCCCAAATCATCCAGAGCGTGGTGTGTTTCGATGCTCTATTTGCTTCAGCAACAATCAGTCTGTTGCGAGCCACAACATGTTGACAGGGAAGGTGATGAAGCTGGCCATAAATTGGGCGTAAACCACCTGTCCCTTGAAGCGTCATGCGGGTGTCGCGATTTCCAGGTACGTGCGGTCAGAGGGACCCATCAGTGGGATGCTCAGAGGTTTTTCGACAGCAGCACCATCAGCGTTTTTTTCAGCTTCAGCCAGTAGTTGGAGAGTAGATGAAGAGTCAAATTTGTACAATCACTGGCTTGGTTTGTCAAGATTTCAATCCTAAGTCTTTCTGTTAAACCGATTCTGGATAGAGATTGTGGCATCTCACTGTGTCCCTGATGTTTTTTTTTTTCCGTCCAATTTTTCCATGTCCAACCAGGCTCTTACGGCGCTTGCAACTGCCCATGAATGTCACGGAAACGCCCAGTTCCTGTCCGGAGCCAACCTTTTTTTAGTGCGGAATCGTTGGGATCACTGGGTATTCCCATTCACACTGCGCATCACTGCACCTTATCACCGAAAAAAGCCTCTGTTTTTAGGTTCTTTTTTGTTGCAATGTTCCCAGTGCCTCTGAGATACTCTAAGGTTGGGATACCGTCCGAGTACTCAGCAAGTTCTTGGAGAATGTGACGGGTTCACATCTAACAACTGGATGAATTGATCGTGGGGCTAGAACTGTGGGTGAATTGAATCTTGTCTCACCTACAGTTCGGAAGAACGCTGATTCATTTTGATTCCATTTGTTCGGTTTTTCGGAGCAAATTCACCCTTTCACAGATCCACTGTTCTTCATAGAGTATTTACATCCTGGATACTGTGAAAGGGATCAATCTAGGTTCAACACGTTCAATAAAGGAAAAGAAAACAGCCTAGACAATCAATCCACGGATTTTTAATCATTCCAATTATTCCGGCATTTTGATACATACAGTAGTCCTCAATGATTGAGCTGTTTCTAGTCAGTACAATAATCCAAGATAGAAAATCCGGATCCTGGCCATGAGGATTGTCCTGAAAATTTTGGCGCCCTGGTGACGTCAAGAAAACGCTATAGATTATCCTGTCACAGTGTAGAAGCCTAGAAGCCTAGGAATAGGACAATAACATTATATGGCAAAAAGTGATCATCATAGATCATAATAGTATTGCTACTAGTACCAATATCAATAACACTCATCATTACCATTTTAAGCATATTCAAACATTGATTTTATCCATGATAAGAAAAACACTCGCTTACCCACTGTTGGAGTGGGATTCCCCAGAAAAAAATCATGTGGACCCGCGATTTCACGCCATGATCGCAGATGTACAGTATATAATAGTATATATTTATATGTACCAATACCAGTAATACCAACTGTTTATCCAAAATTTATAGTACCTCTCTCTCTCTCTCTCTCTGTAATACCTGTATATGATATAAAGATATAGCTGGTTGATCTGGTGTAAATACAGGTGGTCCATGCTTTTCCAAACACATTGGAGGTTTCCCAGTCGTCATGGGGGTACACCAGTTGTCATCCAGTCGAACCATGGTGACTTGGGTGGGGGACTTGGGGATCCCCGATGGCTAAAACAACACAATTTGGAGGGTACAAGCGTCATTTATCAACGATATTCCCTATTATCATAGTCATAGCCATCGGGGGCTATAAATGCTCTGTTCATAGATGACTTTCCCATTGAAACCATGAGTTTTCCACATTTTTGCCATGTAATCACCATATATTAGCCATAATATATTAGCCATATATTCCCGTATATTGCCATATGGATCCATGACTTAAGAGGCCCCCAGCAGTGAATTCGAGGCCCAGGATCAACTCGACGAAATGCTGCTGCAACTGGCCGCACGGCGGGGGGAGGCGCTGGTTTTGCGTGGCGGGCGCCCTAGAAAAGATGGGGAAAACCAAGCATTTCACGACATATTAAACTGGGGGAGATAACATGATATAATCAACAAACAGGTTGATTGAACCATTTTTGTGTGGGACCATTTTTTTTGTTTTTTTGTTGAAGTGATTTCAGAGAATTGGTGTAGACTTTCTCTTAAACCAAGTCTGGGTTTGTCTCAAAATGCTGAATCTTCAGTGACAATCTTGGCGAAAGTCATGGACAAAGGGGGAGTTCACCCTGAAACGCGGGAATATCTGATGGGATGTGACCAACATTCTGGGTATATCTGACGGGACAACTTGGGGAAAATTGGCACATTTACTCCCCGCAATGGCCATTTTTGAAGGGAACACTGCTGAGGTTTTTCAACTGTTCCTGTCAGGATCTGAAAGCGCTGTTGCAGGAGGAGCGTTGCCATTTGTTGCACGGGATGCAACGGGGAGAGGTCAAGATACTGTATGTCAAGATTCCATCGGATGAATTTCTGTTTACCGGCTGATGTGAACAGAAGGGGGAACCATGGTATAGACTGTTGAGCCGTAGCAAAACATAGACTGTTTTAGATGCTGATAATGCACTGGAAGAGAGTTCTGCGTAATGAATAGTGGATATGGGTATGTCTAAAAACTGAGTACACCCAATTTTCAGGCAAACCCCTCTGGATAATTATGGTTAGATCTCTCTCTCCCCCTCTCTTCGCATATAAGATTTAACACACGGATAGATGCACAGAGCATCAAGATATGTTTGCATATATGGGCGTATCCCATGTAGACATAAAGCATATGCCCAACATACAGACACTTGGGTATATAGTCATATAGTCATAGATTATATAAACACTATATATATATACATAAACATACACTATATAACTATATATACACATATTATATTCCACATAAACATAAGATAAACATCTTCTATGGTGTCATTAAAAAAATATGTGTAATTCTCCTTCATTTCACCAAGTTTTTCGAACACCAGTTCCGCCACAGCGCGCGTTGCGCTAAAGATATCTTGTCAGCGCCCAGGAGGATGGAAGCGTCAACGAGCAATGCCTGTCGATTCCTTAGATCGTTTCCAAAGTCCTGAAACCCATGGGAGGGGATTTTAGCCTATGGTTATTTAATGGGGATAATTTTAATATGAAAACTATGGTGGGATATATAATTTTAATGGGTATTTAATGGGTATATGATTTAATGGGGATAATTTGCTGGGTGGGATTATATAGTGGGGATATACCAAACCAACTGTACGATGCGACCCGATTTCAGGTGATAAATCACAGTTTGCTATGCAACAGATGGTCCATAGAAATGGAAGATACACATTGATTTTTACATGGTGATTTGCCTATTAATTAGACATGGTGATTTTCCATAGGTTAAAGAACCAGAGGATAATGGGAATAGTTTTAAATCCACAAAGATGACCTTGAATGTATTGGTTTAAGGGAGAATCTACAGGAAACTCAGGTTCTTGTGTCGATGAATTTTTGAAAGGCTCACAGATTTTCTTGATGTTGAACCCCTGACTTTATTATATAGTTGTTTCAGCACTTGTTGAACCCCTTCAAAAAGTTGTTTCAGCGCTGATGGAGAAAACATCCGTGCCATAACTTCCGTCATCCGAGGATTCAATGGCTTATTAACGTGCCATAACTTCCATCCTTGGTTTGGTATATTCCCTTTTTAATCCCACCCATGAATTTATCATTCATTATCCCCATTAACGAAAAACCATCATCATGAGGATAAACGAGGAACGTCATAACTGGTATTATTATCATTATTATCCCCATTTGGTATATCATTATATGTTACCATAATAAATGATCATAATAACTCCAAAAATCCTAAATAACAAATCTGGTATATTATTCATTAAATCATTATTGGTTAAAATAATAACCATTGTATATTATTCATTAACCAATCTGGTATATTATTCATCTGGTATATTATTCATCTGGTATATTATATCATTATATTTATCCTAATTAATCACCATAGGCTAAAATCCCCATTGGTTTCAGGGCGCTGAACGCGCGCAACTCCACTTCTTTTTGGCTCCCTAGGATTCAGATCTTCGACTCCGCCACCGCGGCAATTTCCGTGCGCCGCGGGGCGGCCCAAAAACATGGCATGGCGATCAACGTGTAACCAAGGGGGGTTTGTTTTAAAAAGACCTCAGTAAAATGTGGGGAAATTGATTAAACTTGATTGAAGATTCCAAATTTTCTATCTATTCTATATCGATTTGAGGAAGATTTTTTTTGTATGTTTTTGTTGAGTTTTTGCCTAGATGTTGAAATGATTTACCCAACAAGGGGGGTTTAAGCAAGAATTAGTTGGGGATATAACCCAGGATTGGGGATCTGTTCTCTTTAAAACGGACAACCCTCTAGAACCCATTATTTCCCTAAGAACATATATATATATATGTATATATATATATGTATATATATATGTATATATATATATATGTATATATATATACACAAATCCTAATGCTGAGTTTTCCTTTTTTTGATGTTCCCAGGAGGGGAAACCGTCCATTTTATGAGGATAGAATGGCATATATAGCCGACCATATCAGATTTGGCTTTGTCCAAGGGACTTACCGTTGGAATCCCCAAGGGAATCCAAGAACTGGGCCCAAACCAGGTGAAGAAAAAGACGGAACAAACAAAGTGATGAAAAACTTACCGTTTGGTAAACAAGCATAGCCATGGAACATATGATCCGTTTATAGCTGATTTTTTTTCCAACATAAATCACTGGGTTGGTTTAAGGGAAAATTTACAGGAAACCCCCATATTTAATGGTAAAAACCATGGTTTCCTGTAGATTTTCCCTTAAACCAATCCAATGAATAAAACATTGTGACATTGTGATTTTCCAGCAACCGAGGCAACGACATGGTTCGTTCAGCCCTCACTCAGATAGCAGAACGCTCAGTGTGGACACCCAGGGTCAACGTGCAGTGACAACTGGTGCTTGGGGCTTGCAGCTGGGGTGATCATAACATGGTGCACATGGATATAACATGATATAACTATGGGATTCTGATGGATTCTGACCTTCACAAGATGGGGTATAACTCCTACAACTATGGTTATATAGTGTTGTGTAACCCACTAATAAGAGTGGGACTGCACCCCCCAGTACTAGTGCTTGAAGCATAAACATCAGATGAAGGATTGTTTTAGCTGCGAAAGTGCAGTAAATTAATCGCAATCTGGCAAGTGGTTGTAGCCAGGAGTCCCCTCAGGCTCCGGGTAGATCTTTTGAGAGTGCAGTCAAACTCAAAAGATGTATATAGCTAAGATACCCTCTTGCAATCCTTTTTCAGTCAAGCATGGCATAATTAACCCCCCATTCTTGATGGGAACAAGCATCCACAAAGAATGAACAGATATGCATGGGCCTTATCCAGCTATAGATGATATTCCGTGATTTTCTCAGGATATAGTTATGCCAGTTATGCTATGTTATACTACTTGACTACCCCATGATAGTCCTGTAGTGTAAATCATCGGGAGGAAACCCAGCTCTGAACGCCCCTTTGCAAAGGTGGAGGATTTACTGCTGGGCATCACTGCTTTGCACTTCCCTCTGCTTCAGGCGAACGGAGATGGGAAAAAACTCCTTTCCGTGATCCAACGATTCCAGTGATTTTCCGTTGTGAAAAGGGACGTTACCATCTGGTTATGTAACATAGCCATGGAAAATCCCTTATAAATGGAGGTATTCATGGGAAAATCCCTTAAATAACCAGAGGGTAATTTTTTTTCAGCTCATTTTAGAGCTTTCTCCTCTTCTTATCTCTTCTTTTGTTTTTGTGAATTCTGAGTGGATTCACTGATGAATTTGTCAGGAGACAGAGCTGACCAGCATGCTTGGTCTTCGTCCGGTCCTTATAGTGAGCTTCGCTCTGAGGTTGTCACGATTTCTGGCAAAATGGGTCAACCAACGGTCACTCTTGTGATTGTCATAAACCTGGGATTCTAGGTATCCCATTTCAAGACAAAACGATTTAGACATTCAATTATAGATTAGGGCCGTTCTCTCTCATCCCGTAGACAAACCCAGACGTCCCATTTTTGATCCATATTGACTATATCAGTTGTATCTCCATTATATAAGCCCAAACATGCCATATACATAAACATATATATAATATATATATATATATACACACATGCATAGATTCCAGCCAAGAAACATGGATTTTTAACATGCCAAGCATCCCTAGATTTTACGGTTGGTCAATCATCCCCCATGCCCGAGGTGTGCAGTTTATGGGCGAAGACGCCGTCGACATGGGTGGTGTACGTGAGAGCCCCCAGAGCGGTCTTGGAGTCTTGAAGAAGGGTGAGTCCTTTTTGGGGGGAAGAACATCTGATCATATACACATATGATTTATATGATGTTTGTGAAGCAAGAGTAAACCATCCCCAAATTTACCATTTTGACGGGTGGTATAAACCATCAAAATATGGGTGTTGCATTATTGCTTAACTAACATTAAATCAAATATACACACATATATGCGTCTATGCATGATACAGACAAATATGATGCATGTAGATATATGTACTGCCATCCAGGGTGGATAGTTGTGGTCGGTCTCCGACAATCTCAGTGTGGCGTAGTGAAACGGCGTTGTCCGTTTACCATGGTGTTCATCGCCCATTTTTTGACGCTTTGGTCCATGCAAAGTGTGGTAGGCTTTTTGTTCCATTCCCACGGGACCATTTCCACAGTTTACAGCCACCCTTGGTCTGCAATCAAATTCAATCGGGTTTGTCTGACACTAAGGTACCCTCTGGTAAACTAACATAACTATGGAACATCACCATTTTTAATGGGTAAATCCACTACAAATGGCCATTTTCAATAGCTACGTTAAATTACCAGAGGGTACCCCCAATTCCATCTGTTGATCATCATTTTCCCATTGAAATGATATGTTCACATGGCAGTTTTGGGGGCTTAACTGCTTATCTTTCCCATATTTTCAGATACACCGGACACCCACATTTGGTGGAGCAATGTGGAGCCGTTTTTGCACGCAAAACACCAAGGTAAAGAGTTCATGGATTGTTTTGCAGAGGCTCTCACTCGCGAAGAGGCCACCGCTGCGTTCATTGGATCACCACGTCGTGGTCATTGGATCCAATGTTCATTGGATCAATGGTGATCAATGACACAGCGGATTCATAGAACCGTCACGATCCCCCCAAAAAACGAATCGCCAGTACTGCAGGCAAGCAGTTTCAGTCGACACATGCCTCCGAAAATCTTCAAGGGAAGGACTGAGCTAAAACGAATGAATGGGTCTTCGGTTCTTCTTAAAACAGCGTTTCCTGAGACGACTCCTGCTGCCCTCCGGGATTTTTGATGCTGGCCCGCTTAATTCGATGCTTTATTACCGATAAAAGAATGGTGATTAATATACGTAATTTTACATAGCTATGGACATCATTATTTTTATCAGGTATTTCATCATAAACCATCTAATAATGGGCCATCTATACCATAGCAAACTGTAAAATAACCCGGTTCATATTGATCCAGAAACCATGGCTTAGTTTAGTATGTGATGAAATCACATATTTGAATAGTAGGAATCCTTAGCCATAGCTATCTTCCTCTTAGCTCCTTGAAGTGGTGAAATTTTTGAGCAATGCCCAGGGCACCTCCCCCTTGTCATTGATTGAGCGCCTGTGTCTTCTGAGCGACTTGGTTGTGAGTACTGGCGGTTCTCATGCCAACCATCCTAAATTGAAATAGATCCAACACTAAACCCAAATTGGGGATGGTTTATTTTTTGAGATACTACGGGTCAAAACTAATTGCTGCAAATGTGGCCTGGCAGAAATCGTTCAAGGGAGTGATCTATGTAGGAATATTCGCTGGAGTATCAGGCTCTCTTCCAAGCATGACATCAGCGACGGTTTGAGGGAGTTGGTCTTGGCCGCAAAGCCTATCACTTTGTTGTCAGATGGAGAACGCTAGGTCTGTATATACTCTTCCAGCTAAACCGAAGTTGTGGTACTGGTAGAAACCATTAGAGACCTATTTTTCTATATTTTTGTAGACTTGTATGGGGATATGATTGGGATATGAGCGGGATATCGTGATTGAATGGCCTGGGTTTGCTTTCGGAGTTTCGGTTTTCCCAGGCTCAGCCCGCGGCAATTTTGGTCACCAGATGCTTAAGGTTAACGGTCACTTCCTTCTGCTGGACAATTCACCATTTTGTTCGATAATTTTCCAAGTTAAATGGCCTTATGTGAGGGATTTTCCAAGGTAAATGGCCATATATACAGTAGGAGATTTTCCAAGTGAAATGGACATATATAGGAGATTTTCCAAGTTAAATAGCCATATATAGGGGATTTTCCAAGTTAAATGGCTATATATAGGGGATTTTCCATTGCCATGTTTGATTACTGGCCACTTCCCAAATTCCAGGTGAACGTTGTCTTCGATTCCCCACGAAACCCCGCAGGTTATGCGATTATGGGGTGAAATGCGGTGAAAAATGTGATTGTCATAATATATGTTGTTGTCATTCCGCTTCAAGCAGGCGCTTTGCCCTCTCCCTTTTGAAAAGCGCGCATTTTTACATGTGGGCCACATTTCGCTCATGCAAAAGCTACGTTTGAGCTGCATGGAAGTTGTTGAAATCGGCCTAGCGCCGTTCAACATGATGTTATTTCAGCGAAGCTCCGACTTGAAAATCCCATGCTGCCAACAGAACATCAGCAGAATGCCATAGACATTTTCAGCATTTTTCACACTATGTCAGCTACATATTTGAGTCCTCCAGATTCGTGTGCGCCCCGATCAATGTTGCAGATGTCCTGAGCATTTTATGGCGTCGTTGTGGGAAACAACACCTCTTCTTTCAATTATTTTCATCATTTTTCATCTATCTTCGCAAGGTCTTCCAAAATCTGACCAATTTGTTTTCTGCATTTGTAGTCTTCAACCGTTTCTAAGACCTTCGGTACTCTGGCCACGTCATCAATGATGAAATTCTCGTCCTAAAGGAAATCGACAAGTATGCAGCATCAGTGCCCAGTTTGCGGCAATCTTTCCGACTTCGAACTTTGAATCAGGAGCGACTTTGATGTTAACTAAATTTGAAACGTATGCTCTAGTCACACCTCAAAACCTTGACGGTTGCATGTGACGGTGACCTTGACGGCGAGTTTGACGGAAAGGCCGACGGTGAAGTTGACGGACCGTCAACCTCACCGTCGACCTCTCCGTCAAGAAACTTCAAATTCATACGTTTTAAATTTAGATAACTTTGATGTTTTTTGTTTAGTGCACGTTTGCCACACTTAAACACATGTTATCGCCCCAGTTTTGTATGAGAGAGCGGTGGCTTCATTTTCTTCGGTTTTCCGCTAGCGGAAGCCGTGGCGCAGCGCTTCAACACACAGCGATGGAGGATGGAAAGGACACATCCTGCAAGGTAGACCAAAGTACCACCCCCAGGAACATTGACGCGATAGATGGAAAGCATCCTGGATCATAGTCCGAGGCCTTGGCGCTGACAGCACTTGGCGGCCTTTGCCCTGCGATGAGGACGCTGTAAATTTCTTCGCGGGCTTGGAAGTGGTTCCTTTTTCCCGAGAAAATTGTAGTTGACGCCCATTCCTTTTGGCCTCCAAACCCACTTCATCCATAACGGCTGAGGATGCGGAATCAGCATTGGGCGGTAAGGGGCTCATGCCCCGAGCCAGGTGTTGTAATTAATTGAATAATTTTGATCCGTTATTGGCGACGGATCTGTATGTTGAGGCAGGTTTTCTTACGTGTGTTGGCTGCGCCATTTGGCAGTCGTGCGAGCGCGATAAGTCCATATATATCCCTGAGAATCCTTGTCTTGAAATAGGCCAAAAATAGTAATGGATTCAAAATTTGGATACATGTCCAATGTTCCCAAAATTTTTCTACATTGTCGGAATGGACCATGTTTGTCGGAAACGGGGGCCATGTTTGTCGGAAAAAGTGCTTTTGATGGAACGTTTTTTTTGAATAACTGCTGTCGAAAAAAATATAGTTGCAAAATCCGTAGATTGGTGGTGTGTTTGAGTCGGGACAAACCGTGTCGGAGCGTGACAAACCGTGACAAACCGTGACGAACCGTGACGTAGACCAAAAACTCTACTTAAATGCGAGACATTGTCGGAAAATAGCATGACGCACCGTGACGCGCCGCTACGGGCTATATTGGAGTATTTTTTCACGCAATGTAGTGGTGAACAATGTGAGTGGCTGATTGATGAAGAACCCCAAGGTCTGTTGAAAGTACCTTAGGATTTGTCGGAATAGCCCCAGGGTTTGTCGGAAAATGCCTTTTCTAGAAATGTCTTGGAATAGCGGTAGCCAATTTTCAGGTACGGAATGCCCCAGAGCTGACATCTAGAAATGTCATCAAATAGATCATATTTTGGATTCACAGGGTATATATATATATACAGTTCCAATGTCCAATGCCTATGCCACGGCGGTGCCCACGGTTGATGTTTCGAAAAAAATCCTGTCCGCTTGCATCATATTGGGAGGACGAACGAGGCTATCTTTGGGCCGGGAACCCAAGTGAGACCCGATGGAACATGAGACATGTGGAACTCCAATAGAGATGAAAAATCTTATTATTAGGTTTAGACCGACACAACATTACAGATAGTATGGTTGGTTGCGGCAATTTTCAAGCATTTTTTTTTCCGCACTGCCTTTTAGAAAGTGAGCAAAATCAGACATATTTCTTGCTGACCGCTCATAAATGGATTGTTTTTGCGAAATCAGTTTTAATAAAATAATTTCTTGATATGCTGTGGATGGGGCTGGAGGCGGTGCTCATTCGGGTTACTCTTGTTTTGGATACAAAGGAAACAAAAATACATAGGACACCTCGTTCAAGGGTTTGGCCTTCGGCGGCAGAACAAACGTTCGATGTTCTTGGCCAATATTAGTTTTGAATGTTACATTTGCATGTTACAAAAACGGTATCCGTTATCCGTTATCCTAGATATCCTAGCCCCATAATTACGGGATTTCCACAGATTGTCCCATAGAAATATAACAATTAATATGTTCCGGAATTTATTTCCACAGATTGTCCCATAGAAAAGGAACTTGTCCTTTTTTCACAATGGTTTATGGTAGATATAACTATAGTATTCATGGGGATTATTTCAGGGTTTATAAACCAACAAACATCACTGGGGGGCCCCATCCAATATACACAGACTGACCCCCAGATCTGTTCCAAGGGGGGTCCGGTCCCCTGTCCGGCCACCTTGGCTACAGGCCTTGGGTCGTCTCTTGGCATTGGCCTTCGTCTATCGTTGTCCATGTGCCTTGGGATATTGCTGGGACATTGTACCAAACTGATGGTTCATATCCCATTTATATATTAATATCACATTAAACCTGAATATCTAACTTATGATGAGATTTTCATGGAATATTTTATAAAATGAATATGGACAATTTTATGGGAATATGATGGAAATTTATGGAATATTCCCATGATTGATGCGAATCTCCCAGTAATATTCGTAGGAATATGAATATTCGTAGGAATATGGTAATATCCCATTTGAGATATCACTTACCCTCATCCCTTGCCTTGGATGATTTGGTGTACCCGGTGTACCCCCATGACTTACGGAACCTTCATCTAGCCTCTGGTAAAAATTAACCATTTGTCATGGAAAATTACCATTTTATAGCTAGGTAAATAATCATGTTTATAGTTTATATTTATATGCCATTTATACCATAGCAAACTGTTAACTAACCAAAGGGTGAATATATCTACTGAATGATATATTTATGACAGCATGTAGAGTATCTAACATATATGTTTTTGGTGTTATACAAATCCAACATATCATTTCAAATTTCCTTTACTTGATATTCGATCTACGTGCATGTATCTGTGAATAACAGTTTTAAGTTCCAAAATCATGAAACAATTCTACACATGGTTCGTTTCATTTGCATATATATTTTTTTTATATGAATGATTCGTATTTTATTTAAGCAAAAACTCGTGCAGTCTCGTGTTTCGATGGACTGTGGGCAGGCAAATCTCAATATATCATGTTTGTATCTAAAGAAATACCCTGTTTCGTTTTGAGGAAGGCCTGAGGGGCCGTCGCAAAGCCGATGGATTGCCAGGCCCTCTACAGTTGTCCCTGCTGGTCTTCAAGTGCATCCTAGGAGTCGAGCGAATTGAGGGTCAGCCATGATCAGTGGTGAACCACCAACCCAGCCCCAAATCAGTCACTTGATGCCAAGATATGGGTTTGTAATGGCTATTTAAATGGGAATCATGCTCATGATCCAGTGGAAGTAGGGATCCTGATTTTCAGACAAACCCATATCAACTCAGGCAAGTTTAAGTGGTGGAGGATCCATTCTTGGACTTTTTCATACCTTTGCTGTTGTGATATGTTGTGCTCTCTGGCAAAGGACGGTATTTCACACGTCTCATTCGGCTGTTGGATCCAACCCCCCAAACTCCTCACTTGGTTGATGAGTCGCCATCGAACGGGGATTGAACCATCATGGGGTTCCGAAAACTGGCCTTTCTATGTGTGCGGAACTATGATCATCTACGAGCTACCCTCTGGTAAACTAACATAACTATGGAAAATCACCATGTTTAATGGGAAAATCCACTATAAATGGCAATTTTCAATAGCTATTTTGACATAACCAGAGGCTAGAGTATCAAACCAACAATTCTTTTCGGGCGCAACGCCATGTCTGTTGTGGACACTGCTCCACTGGGCAACAGTGATTCAATTGTTGCTCTAATGGCCCACCCGCTCAGCTTTGGTTTGTATGTCAACAGATTATTCCATCCATCGTGATTCACTCATATGGATGCTGACATGTGGCTGTTGATTCCTAGCCCCCAATATTAAATACCCCGGTCCGACCCTGGTTTGGTAATTAGGAAAAAAAGATTACTCACATGATTCACAGCTGGTTGACCCCAGTTGCCCTACCCTCTGGGAATTTAACCGTTTGCGAACTGGAAAATGGCCATAGAAATAGTTGATTTAGCATGATTTAGCCATTAGAGCTACGGTGATTTTCCATAGTTATGCTATTGAAAATTGCCCATTTATACTTAATTTACCTATTAAAAATTGTGATTTTCCATAGTTATGTTGGTTTGCCAGAAGGTAATTTTTCTCAAAAATCCCAGGAGTTCCGCTCCGGCCTGGAGATGTGCGACAGAATGGGAACCCAGTGGAGGGTTTTAGGTTTTGATGGCCATTCTTGGCTGGGAAATGAGCGATTTCACCATATTTTGGAGGTTTTTATGGCCGATTTCACCATATTTCACCATATTTTACCGCATGATTTTCCCAACCCCCAACTGCAACTGGGCTGTTGGGAGCACCGGAGCACCGGAGCACCGAAGCAGCACGATTTTTCCTGGACTTTGGCACCATGGAATACCGATATCTCGATCTCCATAAATATCACCATATCAATCCATATCATAAATATCATCAAGATCATAAACAAATTAGATAACATATCCTAGCATATACCAGCTTAAATATGCACATCTTTCATGGTTCATTCATGTTTTCACCTGTTTTCACCTGTTTTCATTCCCTCTTCTTTGGAGATGTTGAAACAGTGCGACTCAGGCTAGATCCAGACTTTTGGACCCATCGAGTTGGAACACCCAGACTTTCTCGCCACAGATGGGCAACGCCACTGCTTGGTACCAACCAGATTTCTGGTGATTTCTTGGATATTTTTTCGTTAGGAATCTACTGGAGATATCATGGAACTACCCTCTGGTTATGACTAACATAGCCATGGTACAGATGGCCCATAGAAATAGATGGTTTACCTATAAAAAATGGTGATTTTCATGGCCATGTTAAATAACCAGATGGTAATAGATATTGCGGTTAAACAGTGGAGATATAAAGAGGGGATATTCTTTGTGATTCATCACCAAGACTAGTTCCAATGCATGAATATATTCTATGACCATTTATCATGATATAGTGGGAATAGACTGGGATATCATGTTTATCACTAGTTTAATCAACATTATAAACCATAGTTAATCGCCCTAGTTAATCAACATGTTTAGTGAATATATTCTATATGAAACTATGTTGTTGGTTAAACAAACAACCTGGTGCCAATTTTATGAGAATATCATATGGAATATACTGGAGATATATGGACCATCACACGGATATCATTCATGGGAAATTAATGGGATATACCCTCCGGTTTGCTCAAACGTGGCGTGCTGGAAAACAAACCATCTAGTTTGATGATTTTCCAAGCTGAAAATATTCTTTTATACAGGATTTCCTATTTCCATGTTTGATTAGTGGAGGGTATGTGTTTCCTTTTTTTTCCCGTAGTCCACTGTGAGTTACAGCAGTCTTCTGAGTCCTATCTTATGCTTGACTTCATCGTCTTGAAGTGAGTTGGGGGGCACAAAAGTGACGGCTGCAAACCACAGACGTATACCCGGGTCCGTTGGGTCTCAATGTTTGTAGTTTACATCCCTAATTTTTATTTGGATGTAGCAACCCTCAAAAAAGATAGAACAGTAGAATTGTACTAAAATGGTGACCAATTTCTGTCCGTTGAGGTTCACTTCCATCCCATGTTCCTGGAAAATCTGCAGGTGAAACCCATCTTGCAACCTGGTGGAGCAGAGGAGTGGTCACACCGATGGGAGCAGTCCAGGGCAACGGTTCCTGTCAGCCCAGCGGTCCCCAATGGTCCCAGGGGTCGCAGGGTTGGCGGTCCAAAGTCCATGCTGAAACCAAAGCGCCGAGCCCAAGAATCGGAAACCATTCTTTCAATGACTCAATGACTCAATGACTCAAGAAAGAAACTTTGAACATCTTTGAAGTCCCAATAGCTGCAAAAAAAAACCCGTCCTGACTTTCCAGGAGAGACAGCGTCAACTGTCCTCATGGGGTGTGGAAGCCCAAAGGTGGAGATGGTTGACCAAGTTCATGGCCATAAAATCCTCATCAAGACAATCTTGCAAAGAACTGTGTTTCATTTTCCGACCAAACGAAAAAAAAGTCAGGAGTCCGATTCGGAATCCAGATGATTTCATGAATGTGATTTCATCACCAAACTTTGATTTCTATATGAATTCTATCAAATTTCTGTACAATTTCTATGGGATTTCTATAGGATTTCTATGGGATTTCGACCTTTTGGTGCCGTTGCCGTTCAACGGTCAAGGCATGGATCAACTGACTTTCACCTCGGCGGATGGCAGCAGAGAGCGTGACGCCAAGACCGCTAGTGTTGGCGCGTCGTATGGCTAGTCATTTTCATGGGAATATACAGAACACATATATATATATATGTATATATATATATAAATAAATATAGTGATATATATATATATACTGTATATATATACTTTATACACACTTATATGTATACATATTATATATATACATACTAACCAGCTAAAACCACTTGTTTGCAGTGAAATTTAAGGTTGGCCATGTATATTGGATGCCAGTGTTGTGCCAACTATGACTTGTATGATCTTGCATGGTCTATCTCATGCTTCTCGTTGCGGCCATCTTAATACTTGGTGGCGAACTACCCAGTGATTTACATGGGATAAGTAGGGTTAATCCACTTATAATTGGGCTTATAACCCACTTACTAAGTGGGATGAGCCACCAAGTATAGTTGATCATAGGATTTCCAAAGAACAAGAGGACACTGAACAAAAGTTTTACGACTCCGTTTGGTATCGCATATGTCCTACACATTCTTGGCGCATGTTTCAACCATGAGGAATTCCTTTAGCTGGTGGGGGTTGTGTGGGCCGTCAGGTTGAAGCCCGATGGAGCCACATTGCCTGTCACCGAGCAGAACAAAGAGGCTGGATGTGACTGGATGGCTGTGGATGGCCCGTTACAACGCCTTTATTTTGCTACGGCCAGAGTGGAAAAGAATCATACAAAAACTGGGGATATCGGAGAGTGATATAAGTATATATATATAATATATATATATAAATGACAAACACTTGGGGTACTTGTACCAGCGGATGACCCCTCTACATTTAGCTATTACCCGCCGACAAGTGGGGTACAAGCTACTGGCCATCTAAAAAGTCTTGGCTACTTTCCTCTACTCATGATTTGAAGGTCTGTGTTTTCAGTCGCATTGCCCCGTTTATTTCTATGGATTCACTTGACTTCCAGACTGTTTTGGCAGACTTTTTGCACCGAGGAACTAAGGTTGGTGTGCTGAGAAAATGGTCAGACTGGATTTAACATTCGGGTTTATGTTTACCTCATGTTTGTTTCCTCCAACATGAGGTAAACCATGGTAACCCCCAATGATCAACGATCCTTCATTTTTTTAACAATCGACCCTACTGGTGATTTATGGTTTATACATGGGGTTCCGCCAGGAATATGCCCAACTCTTGTGCGAAGATTTCCTCATTGGACCCATTCGTCCAGAGATTGGATGCTACAAACTGAGCTGGGCCTGGGAGGGGAGATTTGATGCGGGGAACAGATTTAAGGAAAACCACCATGGCTCTGTCTGAAAATGCTTAGTATACCACCGGAAATCATTTTTTTCTTAAATAGGGAACATGATGATTAACCACTGGATTTGGGGTACCTTGTTTTCAGACAACAATCATAGCTGTGATGGTAAAAACGATGGTTTCAACTGTAGATTTTCCTGAAATCAATCTAGCGATAACTACATCATAATGGCTGTCTACTTTGGTGTATTTACTTGGGCAGTTCTCGGACTGCCAAGTCGCCGACAAGGTGCGAGTCTACCCTCCAACTTCCCAAAAAAATGACCAAGAATTGGCCCAGGATTCCAGAGAGCTTCAATTTTCACCTTCAAAATCTCATAGAATTGGATGATGGGAAAATTTACAGGAAAGACCTATATTTGATGGTAAAAGCCATGGTTTCCTGTAGATTTTCCCTTAAACCAATCCATTGAAAATCTCTGAACAGAAACAGATGTCTCTGTGATTTCCCTGTGTTCCAGGTGTTCCCATTCCGAATCTCAGGCCTCATCATGGGCTTCCACGAGTTGGTCCCAGAGGCGAGGTGATCTAAAAATGGGGCCATGGCAACCACGATCAATTGGGGGCCCTGGGCCCCCTATGACTATGCAGAGTGGTGCCCCATAGTTAGCTAAGTTGGTGCAAATAAGTGCAATAACTATGGTTTATAGGTGATATACCTGTAGTTAATGTGGATTATAACCTATTTATAGCTGGGGGGCACCACCTTGTGGCTATACATCAACTTATTATCTTATGAGGCAGTACAAGTTCAGGCCCCCCAGTGATCTGAATGGTGGTTTATGAGCCGCACAAATAAATACTAGTTCGTTAATTATCGTTATACTCGCCATCAACATCATCAACATCATCAACATCCATAACCCCAATTGTCAATCAAGCTATGATCTATGCGCGTCAACTTCGCTATCTAAGGGGGCCTTAAAAACCTGGTTTTTTGGTGGCTTGTCCCATCGTGGGATGACCCTAAAAGACTGAGTGGGGTCAAGTTCTACAGGGTGGTGCCCCAGGTCGTGAACGCTAAGTTGGTGCAAATAAGTGCGATTTTATGATGGTTTATAGATGTTTATAGGTGATATTAATCATGATATATCTATAGTTTTCATGGGGATTATAACCTATTTAGAAAACTGGGGGGGGCACCACCTTTTTTTTGGGACAGCCTCTAGTGACTCCAGTGACTCACTCAGATTCGGCCTATGAATAGCGTTATTCACCCCTTGCTGAGATGAATTCATCGCATGGACTGATATCAGGCAGGCGGAGGTTTTTTCTCGGGAAGACTACCCTCTGGTTATGTCAAAATAGCTATTGAACATGGCCATTTATAGTGAGTTTTCCCATTAAAAATGGTGATTTTCCATAGTTTTTTGTATGTTTACCAGAGGGTAATCGGGAACAAGACAAAATGGACTCTATTTTTTAAGAGACATTCAACCATCCTCAAGTCGTTTGTGGCTACCAAGAAAAAAGATCTACGACATACAAACACAACAACCTGGTTGATGAAGAGAAATGAACAGAACAACATTTTGCGATGAATCATAGTATTGCTGGAGATGAGGTTACCGGGTTAGCCCTGGGTTGATGGTGAAATCCCTTGATATGCTAAAGATTGGAGATTCTCCCTTCACGTAAACATCTCCCAGGTGCAGTACATGACAAAAAAAGATCTGCAGAGCAATCAAGATGCACAAACCTATCCCCAAATCAGCAAAAAACAGCGCACATCATCATTAACAATCATCAACCATCATTAAAAATCATCAAACATCATTCACAATCCAAATCATGAACAAATCACCCAAATCATGAAAAAATCATCAACCCTCAGCAGTTGCACCATTTCAAAAACCCCCGGTCCCATCTTGGAGTTGTCCCTCAACGCAGGATTTGCTTTCCGCCAGCAACCTCGATGTGGGGTGACCTGGTGACCTGGGTCCGCCAAGATGAAGAATTTCTTTGGAGTGAACTTTTATACCATCAATGGAGATGTACCCTCTGGTAAACGTTTACATTACTATGGACAATCACCATGCTATCAATGGGTAAATCCACTCTAAATCTTCATTTTCAATGGAAAATTACCAGAGGGTAAGTGAATAGAGTCAAGTGAACTGAAGCATTATATAGAACACCACGATATAGAAAACCATGATATTTATACCATCTAATGGAAAACCTTGATATATCAATAGTCAAGTGTTCACTTCACTGAACCCGTGGAATCCATCTACTGGAGATGTAAAAATGGAATGTTAATCATATGACGTGGAGTGGTCATTGTTTGCTAAACCCATTTAGTAATATTTAGTAGAGATTTCAAAATATGCTAGAACATGCTAGAACCCAATTGATGTGATTTTTGAGGCAACCAGAAGAGGGATGAATTTCATTTTGTTTCTGTTTTACCAATTTTTTCACAGGGTGTAATGGAATGTTGGGTTTTTGGTCGAATCATGCTGGTCCCGAACTTGAAAATCTAGCCTCTGGTTATGACTAACATAGTTCCATGGAGGCCATGGCCCATAGAAATAGATGGTTTACCTATTAAAAAATGGTGGATCTTTCCATGGCTATGTTAGTCATAACCAGATGGTATCCAAATTTGGCACTTCAGCTGAATCAGTGTTCACCATCAGAGAAACTCGACCAAGCATGACCATCTAGTAGAGCGAAACTTCGGCTGTGCAAACCGTAAAATGTGTCTACAAAATGGTTTTTTGCAGCCGAAAACCCCCTTAATTCACATGTTAAAAAACAAATCCTCGAATTTCATGTTGGCATCACCATGGAAGTTCATCCAGTGTCCCATCGGTTGGTTGGACATTTTTCAGTGGTAGTACTACCGTAAGTATAGAAAAACGCACATCTAAACTGACTTCATAATCATCATCCATTCATAATCCAAATCACTGACTGACTATCCGAAAAAAAATAGTGACTTACAAAATTCTTACTATAGTTATGCAGTTATATCCGATATGATATATCCAACCATGCTTAACCCAGCCCAGACTACAGGCTGAACAGCTGCGGATGCTGATCTGTCGGAGTCCCAGCGGATCCACGGTGAGACAATTTCGTCCACGGCGTGGCGTTTCGCAACGGAAATTCATGCTGGTTAAATATCGCTAATTATGGATCAATACCTATTAATACCATTTTTAGTGGGATGAACATCCATTTACCAGCTATTTTGATGTTCACCAGGGGTACAAGGTTTTGACACACTGCCATATGGTGGTTAAAGAGCTGAAAAATGGTGGTGAAATATGATTTAAATGTTATGCAAATGATTTACATGATGAAACATATCTCGTTTTTTCATGATTGAATACGATTCAACATAACTACAAGTTACTGTCACTACTGAATCCTAAACCCTGAAGCCTAGCAGTTGAGTTGTAGTAGTTTTAATGACCCCAAATGGATTGAAATACCGGAAATATCATCAACAAACACATTGGCTGGTTCAGTTCAGGCATGATCAGCCTGGTCGCTAGTGAACCATCCATTAGACATTATTCAGCCAAATATGGTTGAACCCCTCTACCATTGTAAGTCTGTTGGGCCTTGTTTTGGGGACGCACTACAGAAACCCTGGATGATGTTTCGGATCTTTGGGCATGGAATTCTATGGAATTCTTAAAGCAGGGTAAGAATGGATAAGAAGGTAAAGTTGAAGTCCCCTCAAACTTGGGCTTCTCTTTGTTTCCCCAGTGATGTAGTCGTGTGGAGGGATGACTTTGACCGCAGTGGACTGAAGCCTTGTTTGATTCCCATCTAGTGTGTCGAAGAACAAGAAGTCTCGCAGAAGTGAATTGTTTTGGTTTTAAACATGGTGAAGTCTTCAGTTACTGGTGAGCTTCTCATTGTTTCATGCTTCTATGTAGTTCAGGTAGTTTGTTTTGATATGTTTTGATCACAACGAACCAATTATACAATATATTAATATACACACATATTTCCCATATTTTTCTCATTAAATATTAATCTTTTTCCCAGATCGATCTCCCCATTTTCCCGATCTCCGTGGGGGATTTCTGTGGATCATCGAAATTCGGAAATCACGTACGAACTGGTCGGCACGACCAGGTGGCAGCAACGAGTTAGACGTGGACGAATGGGAACAGTACGCCGTCACGGAGGGCCCACCACAGGTGCGATCAAAAAACGATGGTCTGTGTGGGGTGAACATTCGCTGGTTTTTTTTTGAGGTGAGTGGAAAAAAACATGGGGAGATATATATGTGGTTGGTGGTTTCAAGCATGATTTTTATTTTCCATTTTCAAGATGGTTAAAACCACCAACCAGATATAATTTAATGGGCGCGGTTTTTTGGCTACAATGGATGTTTGATGGTTGGGATTTAGCCAAAGAACTAGGATTAGATGTGATTAGATGGGGGATGTATCAACCATCATGGAAAATCCAGTCTAAACAATGGAAAAAGATTGGATTAGATCGGATTAGATGGAACCTAAGCTAGGATTTACTCAAATAACTAGGATATGTAAGGATATAACGGGAGTATCATGGGATATACATATAGATATATTAGCATCTCCGTTCGGTACGGTTGGGCGTTCAGAACGCGCGTTTTAACAACTCGCGTTCCAGAATGCGCGTTCTGAGTGAATCCTTTTTTCCAATGATATAAAATTAATAATTTTCCGGGGTTTGAACAGAGAAACCTTTTTCCCCCCAAAAAAAAGGATGTCGAGCTCTTGTGGGCTCAAAATGGTGATATTAGAGTGGGGCGTAGGGATATGTTTCGATTGATAATAAAGTGGATAAGTGGATCAGAGTTACTGGGGAGGGGATATATGATAATTAATTATATTATAATGATTTTTCCAGGGGTTGATGTTGCTTTGTGTTGCTGAGAAGAACTGTTCGGACAAAAAGCCTTGGGTTGGGCAGGCCTAAGACGGAATCCTTTTTTTTAGGGGCTTTAAAAAGCGCTGGGCAGGCCAAAGATGGATCCTGTTTTTGCCAGATTTAAATAGAATTGCGCAGGCCATGTGATAGAGTGGATCCTTTTTGCAGGGAGCAAAAAAAGGATTCGGAGGCTTCTGGGATCCATAAAACCACTAAAAACACCTCTGCGTTCGGAACACGCGTTCCGGAACGTACGTTTTGCGTTCTGCGTTTTGGTCGTACCAAGTATTATGTTATATATCCAACAAGATACGTGCCACGGTCAAGACTTCATGAGTTACACAGTGCTTGTGGATGGGAATAGTCAATCCACATATTATGTTTGGATTCCCATTGTGGGATGGATGACCATAAACCAGGTACCATGTTTTGACCATAGCACATGTTAGGATTTGTCCAAATAAAACTGGGACGGGATTTACCGGCAATCACTTGTGATATACATAACTAGGGAAACCGAGTGGTTGGGGAGGAATTTAACCATCAAGACTGGGGTTATTAATCATCAAACACGCGGAACAGGTGAATTGGGTAGTTTAAGACAACTTAGGATCTTTTGCTACCCAATTCAATAGCTACTAAGTTTGTTCCCAACTTAGGATCACTTGTTGTTGGGAATAGGACTATTTTCAAACCAGCGTTAAACACTTTTTTTGTTTTTTGGCCATGATTTCAGGGGAGTAAATTTTGGTCAGGTTTTCAGGAGACCAATCCTACTGTTTGGGCAGTTTTTTTTCTTAACAATGACATAAACCAGGGTTTTAAACCCCAACAGATAATCGTTACAAGTTTTTTTTTCCCCGTGAAGAGTTTTCCTTACCAGAATCATAGGATCCGACCTTTTCCGCAGTTCCACGAAACATTTTTGTGGGTTACAACGGTTACATAACCATAGTTAAGTTGGGTTATATCCCAACTTATGGAGGTTATTGAGTTATGTTGTCACGCCAGCTATCAATCATCAACTATATATATATGTATAATCATATATATATATATCCATTAGGATCATCTTATACCCAGCGTATGGAGGTTCGAATCCCATAGTAGCCATGTCATGATCAGCGGCACCTGTGCTGAGGTCATCGGCTGGTTCTTCGACTGGTTGCGAAAGCAGTTTGTCTCCCCGGACTTGGAGAGTTCATCGACGAGTTGTCCAAGAATTGGGGGAATTCACACCTCACACCACCTCAATATGTAATGTAAGGTAAGGAAAGGTAATGTTATGTAAGGCAATGTAATGCACTGTGATGCATGTATCTGTATATATATATATATATTATATACTTGATTTGTGAAGATGATGAAGCGTTGGATTTAAGATAAACATATTCGGCTTTGTCATTTTGGGATGAACCAAAAAATAGCTGCTACAGTGGTTTCGGGAATGAAACCATCGAGGGAAAATGGTGGTTAGCTGTGGAAGCCAGTGGATGCATCAAAGTATCGACCATTTAGTACATCAAGTTGTGTACCCATGAACTGAACCAATTGGTAGATCGTGGCTTTCCAGCTCCCCGTTGATGTACACAGATCCATCTTGATGGTCATTCCGAGTTCCGAAAATACACGGAGCTTATCATCAGCTTCACATCGACTACAATACAGTTCCCTTCTACAGTGAGTGTTTTCACATGTTATCACATCAGTATATGTCTATAAACCAATCAGTATCCTCTTATTCTTACACGTATTCTACATTCCTTAGCATCATCGTCATACATTCCATACATGTTCCATATTATGATATACCTGTACCCTCGAATCAGCACAATGTCTGCTTTTTAAACCAATTTTCGAAAACATGGGAGTATTTGGGCTATAGTAGGTAAAAAGCCGTAAATCCAGTCCAGAAGCCACAAATACGTTCAAATCGTTTGCACTTAAAACATCACAATCAGTGCTTAATTCCTGTCAAACGAGGCACCATCAGCAGAATTTTAACAGGTGTCCATTGAAAATTCAGATTAGATACACACAGTAGATAGATCACTCTATATCCAATATGTTTACACTAAATGCAGGTTAAAATGAAAATAACACAACAACCACCCCATAATCGATGGTAAAAAACCCACGGCTTCACCTGCAGATTTTCCCTAACAAACCAATCCATTGATTCAAATCCATCATGGATGGTTTAAACCCAGTGGATTCTGAAAATAAATTGATTCATGGCGAAATCCCATTGACAAAAAAATTGAGAATTGTGCATGCAAGCCACAGATTTCCATTGCTAAAAATATGGCAACATCCATTGGATTGATGATTTTTTTCCATTTCCCCCTGGTATCATGAAATTTTGCCCCAGTTCGTTAGCTAAGTTGGTGCAAATAAGTCCCATAAAACCTATGGTTTATGGCAGATATAACGAACTAGTTTTCATGGGGTTTATCAACCCACGTTCACATCACTGGGGGGCACCATCCTGTGGTATCATCGTTTTGCCCAAGGTCCGCCGTGGCGCGGTCCAAGATGTTAGCTTTCGTGACCGGCTCCAGCGTTGCGATCCCAGTGGGTCCCAGTGTTCGGCGACTTGTCGCCGAAAACATGCCCAGATGGCCCTGAAATACGGGCAGAATAAGGATTCAAATCTGGAGGTAAAAAGTTTATATGGAGGTTGTATGAACTTATGGACATAAAGTGCATTTATCATCATTTATCTAGATTTAGATCTATGGATAACTCTACATCATTGGAGCAGTGGCTGCAAACTGTTGGTTAACTATTTTTTGGGAGTTATTCTACCTTTCTATATGTTGGGGATTGTCCTGTTATAAATTCCAGAATTCCTGTATGAACCAGCCAGCATATGTATATTATATGTGTATATATATATATATGTATATGTATATATAATGGAATGACAAACGGTTCTGAACACTGCTCATTTGGATATTTCAAGTGTACATATATATTTATAGATCTATTGGATCTTCAACCGGGATTGTAGAAATCTATAATGAGAAACCATTTTGGGAATAATCTTGGGATAATTTTATGGGATAATGAACCATACAGTACTCAATGAGAAACCATCCCCAATTTACACATGTTATTATGCGGGGAATGTCGTAAACCATATACTCCACAATGTGGGTTTATAGCACCGGGCTTTCCACATTGGGAAATTCGTACAGATTCATATCACAATTGATGGGAAAATCAGTGGATTCTCAAACAAGTTGGATGAATTTTGTGAAACATGGTTTCTGGTAAACATACAAAAAACTATGGAACATCACCATTTTTCATGGGAAAAAATACTATTTCTATGACCATTTTCAATAGCTATGTTAGTTTACCAGGGGGTAGCAGACATATCACCCAAACTTGTCTTGGATCACAAGATGTGGTGTTCCTCCAGTCGCCAAATGGCGACTGGGCCAGTGATGCACCTGGATGGAGAGTTTAGCAGCTATAGCACTCAGCTATTAATCCTTTGCCATTAGGGATGTACACCCCATGACCATCACATGGAGCCCCAAGAATGACCATCTTCAATAGGAACTAATAGGGTTCCATGATCAAACCCAAACCCGATCCAGATGGGGTTCCATGTTAAAATTAGCGATGTTAAAATTACTAACCAACCAGCTCAGCTCAAAAAAACAGTGTGTCTAAGATAGGCCATGAACCATCCGATTACCTGCCGAGGTTCTGCCCTGTGGATGGCAGGGCTTGCGAGATCCCCAAGGAGCTGGTGAATATCACAAGCCATTTGGGCATAGTCACCACCTATTTCTGAGATCATGAAGATATAACAGGGATGTATCAACCATAGTTTTTTTTTTTTAAACGGATTTACCCTCTGGTAAACATACAAAAAACTATGGAACATCACCATGTTCAATGGGAAAATCCACTATTTCGACTGGGCCATTTTCCAGTTCGCTATGTAACAAATTTCCAGATATTAGCTATCATAAATCAGCTATAAATCCCATTAAACCCACATTTTCCTATGGTTTCCTATGGTTTCCTATTTAATGGGATGTACCCTCCAGTGTGGTCAACCAAGACTACCCTGGGACATTTCCCGAACTCGCCATGGAGCTGGACAAAACGCTGAAAAAAACATCGAACTGCTGGGGGATTTTCCCGTGAAGCTGACCGGTACCTGGAACTGACCATCAATTTATGATGAACAGAATGATCAATGGCTATTTCAGGAACCTAAATTGGAGGTACCTACCATATATATGGCCTATATAAGGCCTATGTAAGGGGATATCCCCACAAAATATGGACTTATATGGTACAGTACCTCCATTTTAGGATCCTGAAATTCCCATTGAAATGATGGTTGATACCCTCTGGTAATGACTGTTACATAGCGAACTGGAAAATGGCCCAGTCGAAATAGTTGATTTACTCCTCAAAAATTGTGATTTTCCATAGCTATGTTAGTTTACCAGAGGGTACATCCCATGGCTATTTTACATACAATATACCTGGTTGGTGGTTTGGAACATTCTTTATTTTTCCATTCAGTTGGGACTAATCATCCCAACTGACGAACTCCATCATTTTTCAGAGGGGTAGGTATACCATCAACCAGATATCCTCTGGTAAACATACAAATTACTTTACTTCGTGTGATCCCCACCATGACATTTATACATTTTCTTACTGGCAAATCTTCTGGCATTCTATCTGACATATCTTCTGACATTCTATTTGGCATTCTATCTGGCATATCTTCTGGCATATGATCTGGCATATCTTCTGGCATATCTTCTGGCATTCTATCTGGCAAATCTCTTCTATCTGGGCATTCAATCTGGCATTCTATCTGGCATATCTTCTGGCATATATTCTGACATATCTTCTGGCATTCTATCTGACATATCTTCTGGCATATATTCTGACATATCTTCTGGCATATCTGGCATATCTGGCATATCTTCGGCATATCTATCTGGCATATCTTCTATCTCTGACAGTACTCTATCTGGCATATCTATTCTATCTGGCATTCTTCTGGCATTCTATCTGGCATTCTATCTGGGGCATTCTATCTGGCATATCTTCTGGCATATATTCTATATCTTCTGGCATTCTATCTGGCATATCTGGCATATCTTCTGGCATATATTCTGGCACATTCTGACATTCTTTCTAACTTATCTTCTGCACATCTCTTTGTCCCCTTCCATATGAGGTCCGGCAGGAACACTTGGCCTCGCGGTGAGGTCCGGCAGGGAACACTGGGCGTGGATGGTCGTGGTTGAGGTCCGGCAGGGAACACTGGGCGTGGATGGTCGTGGTTGAGGTCCGGCAGGGAACACTGGGCGTGGATGGTCGTGGTTGAGGTCCGGCAGAGAACACTGTGGATCGCGGGTCGCAGTTGGACGAGGACGACGAGGACGACGAGGACGACGAGGACGACGAGGACGACAAGGACGACAAGGATGACAAGGAGGATGAGGAGGACGAGGAGGAGAGGAGGAGGAGGAGGAGGACGAGGCAGGAGGCAGGAGGAGGCAGGAGGAGGCAACTGACATAAAATCTAACAACCCTCACCTGGCAGGTGGGGAAAAACTATGGAAAATCACCATTTGGGAAAACTCACTATTTCTATGGCCATTTTCAATAGCCTTTTGTATGTTTACCAGGCCGGGTATGCCGGGTACTTCCTGAAATCCATCGAAATCCATGGGGGATCGATATTGCCCCGTCGTTTTCATCCCATTCGAAGTCGCCGTATATCATCCAAAGACATCCAGAAACTCATGGTATTTTGTTGTATTTTGGAATATCATGGAATATCCCTTAAATCGCTAAAAATTGATTGCCCATCTTGCAATTGTTGCTGGTGAACTCCTCTTTTTTTGCTGGTGAACTGGATGGATTTTGTCGTCAGTGGTAGATGGGTCGCGCACTCAGTTTCTTGAACTTGAGATATATAGCAACCAAACAAGCAACAGAATGTATTAATATACATATACACATATAATAACATATACAAATATATTAAAGATCAACTAGCCATAATTCTATAGCCAATATATATGTATATATATCCTCCTGGGGATCAACGGTGGTAGCCACCTGTGGTTGCCAGTGCTGCCAGGACGTTTCTTACCCTTCCGTGTGCAGGTGGAAGGCAATGCGACAGTCACCCGGACCCTATGTGAAGCATTAGGAAATACGGTTTTTACCTTTAAATGTGCAGCTAAGAAATATGTAGCTAAAAATTATGTTTTGTTTATATGAGGTTGAACCAAACAAAATTGGGATTTACCTTCCAGTAGATTAAAGGGTGCCTTAAGAAAACAACATGTTTTTTTGTCGGGAGCTGCTTTCCTTGATTCTCCAATAGCTTCAACTGTTCTTTTTTGGTTGGTGGCAAGTCAAAAATTAATCCAAATCTAGTTTAGAATGAATTAAGGTTTGACTTGAAATTAATTTGGATTTGGGTTGAAACTAATTTAGATTTTGATTTAGACTTGATGCACATTGACTCTAGAATTAATGTAAAATTAATTGAACTTTGTTTCACAGAGCTATGATCCATAGACTTTTTTTTTCCGTGGGGTTGCAAGCAGGTTATGCTGTTATGCTTCGACATCAGTTGCTTCAAAGATCCAGACGTGGAACCAAGGCACTTCCATCTGCACATACTTGCACCAATTTGCTGGTCCCACGCTCAGAGCCGATAAATTTTGGCTGCGTAGGTTGCTGGAAAAAAATGACGCGACTTGTGATGAGTCCTGAACGAAGTGTAACGTTCTTCTCTCTCTTGGAAATGCAAAGCAAACATGATAAAGAACCACAGCGTTTCCCTTAATCCAAAGCCAACATGATATGATTGGTTTCTTTTCTTCCTGTTATCATATAATATGTTATCTACATCCCAATTCACACTTATCCCCATCCCATCAATCCATCAACGTTTTCGCTCCATGAGGTGCTTCCACCGGTGCTGGAGCGTTGGGAGTTGGAGTCACGACTGGCCAAGGTGACCAGCCTGGTGGATGCTTATGACATTCACAGGGCTCGCCATGGGAAATAGCCATGGCCCATCCATCGAAATAGATGGTTTACCGTTCTTAATAGCGTTTGGTGATGGCTTCCATGGCGATGTTAGTCATAACCAGATGGTACATGGGGACAAACTAATCCTAACTAGTCACTAGTCTTTTGGTATTAATGGGAATATCTACGTTCACCAAAGAATTTAATTTTTTGCAGGGTATCTAAGATTGGCAATGGATTGGGGATGTCCTGAGGATTTTTTGTTTCTGAAAAATAGAGGATACCCAAGAAAAAATCCAGTTTACCATAGGATTTTTGGATGCCCAATTTTCAGGCAGATGCATTTGACACATTCGATTTGTGACCCTGAATCTTGAGGCAAAGCAAAGGAATTACCCCAAATTCGCTCCATTAGAGTTGCTGGAGGCACATTGAAGAAGTCATGCTTGCAGGTCCACTTTTGCTTATGAATTCGATGAGCCATAGGCCATAGCATTTCTACACGTGAAAACCGGTAGAAACTGCACAGATGACATCAAAACTGATAGACGATGATAGAACTATCAGATCATCATGTGATCATGTGGGTTTCCTGAAATGGGGCATCCCAAAATCATGCAAACATTGTAATTTTTAAGAGAAATCAATGGTGAAAAGGGGTATCCAATTTTAAGAAACAATCATATTAAACCAAAGGTTATATCCTAATTACAAGTGTGACATAACCCACAATCACAGGTGTTGTTTAATTTCTTGGTGCTTTTATCCACGACCGTCCATATAGAATCATCATGAATCATCTGTCATCAATTAAATCAACTTATGATTTGGATGAAGTCCCTTTTAATGATGGTGAAATCCCCATTCAATCACTACTCAACCAGGATTTTTCTAAAGTTTTTTCCAATTCGAGGTTCCCTACATAGCCCAAGTTATCATCCAGTCATGGATGACCGTGGTCTCTGTACTGTGCAGGTCCTGGAGTTCGCTGGTCGTGAGATGTTGCTGGCGTAGAGTCCTGCGGCCGAGTCGCTGGGCCGAGCCGCCGAGCCGTTGTTTCGCATGGTCAGACGTCATGGGCACGACCAACCGTGAGGGGAAGCCAAATTCTGGCGTTTCTGGATGTTTATGGTTACCACCAACCAGCAACCACCAGCAAATCTAGGCGCGTTTGTTTCAACCGCTAGATATGGTGGATTTTGTTTTGGGGAATGAACATCCATAATCAACCAGAAATTTTGGTGTGAATTATATATTTCCTCTTGAAAACATGAGTCCTTCGAGGGGTGCTGGAAATGTCAACGAGCCTCTGGGTGCTGGAAAAAAATGCCATATCCATGACATGAAACAAGGTCAATGTAGAAAGGAGCAGCTCCACATGTGATCTCTTCAACAGACCAACTTTTGGTCACAAAACCCCTCCACTGGCTTCCCATCGCCGATCTGGCCGCAGGAGATCCCCCATTTTCCACACCTGAATATCGTATTGTTGTTTATTTCATTCCATTACATTCCCATAAATTTGCTTGTTATATATATATATATATATGTAATATATTTCCCACTTTCTTTGTTAAATCAAGTTATGTCCCCAAATTTTTTAGAGACGCCACCCATTGCTTACGTTGGCCGTACTTCATGTGATGCTGCACCGTGCGTCACGTGTGTCATAGTCTGAAAACCTGCGCGATTCCGAATTCAAACATGTCCAAAAACAGCCCACCGGTGGTGCAAAAGGCCAAACCACTGGATTGGAGGAAAATCCATGGGAAAGGCCTATATTTTCATGGGAAAGACTTTCTTCATGGTTTGCTATAGATTTTCCCCAAAAGGATCATTGCCAGTGTGTGCAACTCACACATGCACCTAGCTTGCAACCTGCGTAGATAAAAGGACACGCAGCGCTTATTTAAGTGCAATGAGTTGGTTCAAGAACAGAGAGAAACAGAATGTGTTGGTTTTTTCAGTTTGCACAGGTTCCTTCGCTGGTTCTCAGTCTTGTCAAAGTGTATTATCACATGGAACGCCGATTGTCCTGATGGTGCCAAGTCATGTTTCAATCAACTCCAAAGTATTTCTTGCACCTCTGAAACTATGCTCGTTGTTTTCGATGTTCAACCATCATTATTTGGGATGATGCCCAATGACTACTCTCTCTCTCTCTCTATATGTATATATATATATATAGTTTATAGTATTACTATTACAATTATGTATATCTATATATATGTATTTGGTGACTATATATATATATGTATATATATATATACACATCATTCAGATTATATATATATATAGGATGTAAATTTGGGGAAAATGGATGGCTCAAGCGGAATCATCGCGCAGGTCATGGAATCATCCTCTGGGACCAGCGGCAGCACTTTCACGACGCACGGAGGAGGGCATCGTCGCTTTCTCGTTGGACTCGGTGGACTTTCACGACGAGCCGGAGATGAAATACGGCCCCCAAAGAACGGTCTAAATGGTTATAATCCCATCACCCTAATATTAAACACCCCAATTGCATGATTCCAATGATGTGGAAATTCCCTACATCCACCATGGTTTAGGGGGTGTTTAATATGAACGGGGGAAGGGATTAATATGCTTATAATTTATACTATGTTGACTCTTAAGTTGGATTTTCTTTTGGATCGACTTGACTTGACATATCAAATTGACATTTATTGACTATATATTGTTGATAATCACTGACTGTTCATGGATTGGGGTGTATTTTGCAGGGCATTTGTCATGTTTGGGGAAAGGGATTACTACAACATGTTGGGTTAGTCGTAGGCCTTGCCCGGGATTTCAAACATCGAAACCACTTCCAAGTTCGGGCAAACCCAATGGCGAACCCAACATGTTGCAACATACTCCAACTACATTTCCAGAATTGCAACTACGGTAGTGGTTGCTAAAGACTCCAGCTCGGAATTGGTCGATTGACTTTCATTGAAGATTGAATATCTTTGGTTTATTCAATCGGCCGGCCAATGAAAGCCGATCCAGGTTTCAAAATGACGAGGAGCAAAGGAAAGGCATCACCATTTTGGGAGAAGACAAGGAAGGGCCTAATGGTCTATCATCTCGGACCGGGTGCTACACATGTTTTTTTTATTTATCTTTTTCAGGGTGCCGTGAAATTCCTCGATTTGGAGGCCTGCTGGATTTCATGGCATTTCTTGATGTTTCTTTCCCTGGTTCCCACAATTGGTCTAAGTGAACATCTACAGGAAACACTTATAATTGATGGCAAAACATGCAAAACGACGGTTTCCTGTAGGTTTTCCCTATAATTGATGGTCAAAACCATGGTTTCAACCGTAGATTTCCCTAAACCACGCCATGTTTGGCCCTTCACACCGTGAATCTCCAGGAAAAGCGCTGCCACATTTGGCATCCATGGCGTAGAGGACCCCATCTTCCTCAGGTGAGCAGCCTTTTGAATAATGTGGTTAAAACAATAATAAACTACCCATGACTGGGAATGATTTATACCACCTATAAAAATGGTGATGACTGGGGGATGGCTTACTATTGCTTTAATCACATTAGGAGAAAATTATGATGAATGAAGCAATGGAAAACTGTTTTTTTCCCTCAATTTTTAGATATTTTTAGGCAAACCAAAGCCAGATGAACACTGACAGTTGGAATTTTGGAGCTGTCATGTTTGGGTCACATCTCTGGATATTCTCATGGTGTAGCAGGCTGGAGACTCAGCTGGCGTTTTGGGTCTTTTTTGTAGGGCATGTTGGCAGATGTTGACAGGGACAAAAGTGGCAGAAACGAATTTTGAAACTTGAACCATAAGCAGCAGCAGGTCCATTCAGAGAAAAAACGAGTTCCACATGGAGATTACTAGAGGATTTGCTCCCAGGCAACATATCTCGGTCGCCGTTGCTATTTGTGGCTCTCCAGGCAGTAGTTGCCTCCTCTTGAGACCGCGTCAAAGAAGAAGTGTACTTCATTGATTCATCATCAGAAAATCATCAGAAATCTATAGAATTCCTCATCCAACTATTGTTTTTATTGACTTTCCGAAGCCGCGCGTCTTTGATCTTGAAAGCTCCTTACGGCCTCGAAAAGTCTGATAGCTATGGGAGCTGCCTGGATTCGCTGAGCATGGGAGAATCCACCGGAACACGGGAAACTACAGGGAAGATGTGCTCATGGTTTTTAATGGCTTTTAATGGCCTGGCAGATCGCACATCCATACAATATATATATAATATATATAATATATAATATATATATAATATATATAATATATATATATAATATATATATAATATATATATAATATATATATAATATATAATATATATATAATATATATAAAATATATATATATATATATTCTACAAAGATACCAGTACTGGATTGATCTGGGTTGTATATCCCCACATCGCCCCAAAAATCGTCAGTCAAGATCCCCTTTTTTTGATGGACAACCCCTGGCCCCGGCGTCAAAGATCAGGCTATGGACCGACGGGCCCATAACGTGCAGTATCTTGACCCTGCTGTGCAAGCACAGCATCAAACGACACATGATGTGATGGCACCTCGGCGATTTCCTCGGCATGCCATGTCCCTTCAATTTCTGGCAAAAAAAGGTTGGATATGTATGGATATGTGTTTTCCCGATGGTTTTCTGCAAATGGCAATTCTCCCATTATAATCCCATGATGGCACCAGTGTTTCACACCAACTGGTGCAGGATTTCGCAACCAGCCGGCGCCAGGTGATTGGACGCCATGAGCAACATGGCTATCTATTGCTTTTGAACAATCGAGCCTTGGCCGAAAATCCAACTGAGCAGCCCTGGGCGTGGTGGGTCAGTACCTAAGGGTTTTATTGAGGTCCTGGCAATCCCAGAATCCGAAGAAAAAACATACCGTTGAAGCCCCTATATTTGTTGGTAAAACCAATGGTTTCAACTATAGATTTTCCGAGCAATACATTGAAGCATCACTAGCACGTGATTCATTACTGGCGAAGTTCTGTATGGATCCATGGGATAGAATGGGGGTAGACTCGTAGACAAAAAAATATGGTACCTCCCAAAATCTCCTACAATGTGGTGCTCCATAGGTTTTATAAGTAGGCTGACTAGGATGTATGGGGGATATATCTTGATATATCTAGACTTAGATGGAGTTTCAACATGTTTTAGCCAAGTTATAGGGCGGCATGACATGGGGCCAACGTTTTGAATGACAAAAGTGGCTTTGGTCATCACCAATGACTGGACCGTTTTTTTCACAGAAAGAACCAGTGGTTTCACGATCAAACATGGAGGATTTCCCATGGTAAATCCCCATGGAAAATCTCAAGTGAGTTGTTTTGCCATGAAAAATGCTGGAATTCACCCTAGCAATGCCATTTAAAAACCGGCCTTTTTAACGTGGTTTATGCTGTTTATGCCACCCATCCTAAGGAATTTCGTGAACCCTAATTTTAGCGAATATTCTGAGGGTGGACCCTCAATAAGCGTTTTGACTACATGAAAGCTCAAAATGGAAGGTTTTTGCGCTTAATTTTCGATGATTCTAAGTTGAAAACGCATATTGAGCAAGTGGTTTTCCCGGTGGTATGTGCAGGACCTTGCCCGGACATTCAACCCGCAAACATTGTCAGATCTTGCCATTCCTAAGCTTAAGGTTTAAACAACATTTGCTGTTTTCCTTTTTGACAAATTAAACTGTAAATTTACACATCGCCTGTTTGGAAGTGACGGAACCACAAACATATTCACTTTCCTATATGCAAATCTGCGTTGATATAGTCAATCCAGTTTTATTTTTGTTGCAATGGAATCTCAATATAGCATGCTTCTCGGCTGGATGATCCTGAGCATCTTATCCGCTGGATGATCCTGAGCAGCATTCTCACAACTAAATGTTATTATCATTATCCCGGAAAGTCAAACGAACAAACGCTTCATGAAGAAACAACATATTCATGTTGGCATGCGGGCACCAATGACGAACAAACAAGTCTGAGGACAACCGCCCCAATCTTTCAAAGCCAAACGAATTGAAGCGTTGCCGCTCTCAATTTTTTAAAAAACGGTCCCTATAGTAAAATTCTGATGTTATCCTCCGAAAACCTTGGGGATATGATATCATGTGACATCCTGAGAAACTATATGCTGATCCTCTGGGCTGGTATCAGAAAATCTTGATGATATCCCCAGGGTTTATGGCTGGTAACGTGATAAATTTCTGCTGAAATTTTGATGAGTCCATTCTGATGATATCCTCAGACAGGTCCGATGATCCTCACAAACTTCTGATGATAATTCCGATGATATCCTTGGAAAGGTTATGATGAGATGCTGGTGATATCTGCAGAAAACAGTCGCAATTTGCGCTGAAAATATCAGCTACAAAATATCCTCGGACTTTGTAGCTGATGTGTTGCAACAAAAAGTGATCCTTTATTAGCATAATTTCAATTATATATATATATCAGAACAGATTTGATGGTTATCAAATAAACAATTCTGGAGACCCTGCAAATTTACTGAGGAACCCTCAAAATTTTCGGAGGAGCCTTCAGATTTTCCTGAGGAATCATCAGCTTTTTTTGAGGATCCTCAGGCTCTTTGAGGATCCTCAGAATTTTCTGAGGGTCCTCATCCTCAAAATTTTCTGAGGGCCCTCATCCTCAGAATTTTCTGAGGATCGTCATCCTCAGAATTTTCTGAGGATCCTCAGAATTTTCTGAGGATCGTCATCCTCAGAATTTTCTGAGGATCCCCAGAATTTTCTGAGGATCGTCATCCTCAGATTTTCTTGAGGATCCTCAGAATTTTCTGAGGATCGTCATCCTCAGAATTTTCTGAGGATCCTCGGAATTTTCTGAGGATCGTCATCCTCAGAATTTTCTGAGGATCCTCGGAATTTTCTGAGGATCGTCATCCTCAGAATTTTCTGGGGATCCTCAGAATTTTCTGAGGATCGTCATCCTCAGAATTTTCTGAGGATCCTCAGAATTTTCTGAGGATCATCATCCTCAGAATTTTCTGAGGATCGTCATCCTCAGAATTTTCTGAGGATCCTCAGAAATTTCTGAGGATCGTCATCCCCAGAATTTTCTGAGGATCCTCAGAATTTTCTGAGGATCGTCATCCTCAGAATTTTCTGAGGATCCCCAGGATTTTCTGAGGATCGTCATCCTCAGATTTTTTTGAGGATCCTCAGAATTTTCTGAGGATCGTCATCCTCAGAATTTTCTGAGGATCCTCGGAATTTTCTGAGGATCGTCATCCTCAGAATTTTCTGAGGATCCTCGGAATTTTCTGAGGATCGTCATCCTCAGAATTTTCTGGGGATCCTCAGAATTTTCTGAGGATCGTCATCCTCAGAATTTTCTGAGGATCCTCAGAAATTTCTGAGGATCGTCATCCCCAGAATTTTCTGAGGATCCTCAGAATTTTCTGAGGATCGTCATCGTCAGAATTTTCTGAGGATCGTCATCCTCAGAATTTTCTGAGGATCGTCATCCTCAGAATTTTCTGAGGATCCTCAGAATTTTCACTCGATAAGCGTTTTTTTGTTTGAAAATAAGCGTTTTTTTGGCACAGTTTCATGAAAAAAACGCTTATTGAGCGAAAATTCTGAGGATCCTCAGAAAATTCTGAGGATGAACATCTTCACAAAATTCTGAGGATGACGATACTCAGAAAATTCTGAGGATCCTCGGAAAATTCTGAGGATGACGATCCTCAGAAAATTCCGAGGATCCTCAGAAAATTCTGAGGATGACAATCCTCAGAAAATTCTGAGGATCATCAGAAAATTCTGAGGATGACGATCCTCAGAAAATTCTGAGGATCCTCAGAAAATTCGATGACGATCCTCAGAAAATTCTGAGGATGAGGATCCTCAGAAAATTCTGAGGATGACGATCCTCAGAAAATTCTGAGGATGACGATCCTCAGAAAATTCTGAGGATGACGATCCTCAGAAAATTCTGAGGAGGATGACGATCCTCAGAACATTTTGGGGATGACGATCCTCAGAAGATCCTGAGGATGACGATCCTCAGAAAATTCTCAGGATGAGGATCCCCAGAAAATTCTAAGAATGAGGATCCTGAGAAAATTCTCAGCATAAGGATCTTCAGAAAATTCTGCTGAGGGTCCTCAGAAAATTCTGAGGATGACGATCCTCAGAAAATTCTGAGGATTCTCTAGATTCTTTTTTGACAATCACCAGAAAATTCGGTCAATGACAATTCCAATAATCATTGGATATATCCGGTGTTCGTGAGAACGACGATCCTTGCAAAAAAAATCTCCGAGAGCAAAGTCAAGCACGAAGCACGGCCCTATTGTGTACACAGACAACACGCAGTGTTTTACTTGTTTTGTTGTTTTTCCCTGACCATCAAAGCTATTTAAAAAAAAATAGACCAAAACATGATGATAATCATCAAACGTATGTGATATTCAATCACCAGATATACCCAGAGTTTGTCAGAATGATGAACCTTGGCAAATCTGATTCTCAAAGGAAAAACAAACACAAAGCATGCCGTTATTTTGTATACATACAGCACGCGCTGTTTGACTTGTTGTGTTTGCCTCTTTTTCCGTGCTCAAAATTACCTGATGCATGTCGCGAAAATGATATCCTGATAAACTCCTCACGATATCCTTCAAACGTTCTGATGATCATCTGTAAATTCTGATATTCTCGGAAATGGTTCATGATATCCTCAGATAAATCTGATGACCCTCAGAAATTTCTGAATGTATCCCCCAGAGGTCTGCTGATATCCTAGAATCCTAGAACATACTAGATGCTTTATGATGATACCGTCAGAGAATTATTATTTCTCAGAAAATTCTGATCCTCAGAGATTGTTTTATCCTTCGGAAACTGTGATGGTATCCGCAAAACCGAAATTTCCATCAGTTTCCAAAAGTGACATCCTCCAAAATGCCCCATTGTATCCTTTGAACATGTTGCCATGTTGTTCATGTTCCTTTAAACAGTTTTATCATGTACATCCAAAAAATCTTGGAAACTGTCTTGATGTACGTTCAGGATATTCTGACTGCCACAAGAACTTTCTCTTGATATATGTGGATATCCTGAGAAAATTCGGATGATATCCTCACACAATCCGATGGTATTTTTCCTCAAACCAAGTAAATCACATGGTTGATTGGTATAGCTGGCAGAAATCCGCTAAAATCTTATTTCACACTGAAAAGTGAAATTAAGGTCCCTGCCACCCAAAATACATTAAACACACATATTACACCAAAAATGGACCTCGCAACATGTACTATTTTTTTTTCGATGGTTCCCTGCATTCATGGTAAATGTTGGTAAATGGGTTTTCTCGACATAAGTGGTTAGATTCCCCAATATGCGTTCATGGCGCACGATTTTTTTTTTTGATACACCTTAAACGCATATTGACCCCCCCAGCTAACAGAATTGGACCATAAACGCATATTGGACAAATAAACAGGACTTCACGAAATTTACTAACCCATCCCATGGGTAAAACAGTGGGGATGCTCCTATAGCCATGTGGAGACTATGTGAAATATCACAACTCGATAGCTAGATCTATGTTTGGGAATATAGCCTCTGGTAATTTGTTACATAGCTATGGAGAAAATCACAATCTTTAAGTTCGGTAGTCATCAACTATAAATCTTTTTGGCCATGTTCCAGTTCACAAACTGTTCAATAACCAGTGGGTAAATCTTTAGGAAATACTCTGATGAACATCCTGGGTTTTCGGTTGAACATGGACCCAATTAGGATGAGAATAGGTAAGGAGAATAGGGATTTAAGCAGCATGTATTTCATTTACGTCCTTGTGGGGAGTATACCATACATATATATATATACACATACTGTAATATATATATAATTTTATGGTATATATATATACATACATGTATACCATATATATAGGGCACTTATTGGAGGGGATGAACATCCATGACAAACGACTCCTAACTGCTATTTTGGTGTGAAAACCAGGCTACTGATAGTATCATATTCGTGAGATCCCTATTCTTGATGATGAAATCCACATTCGATTGACATTTACGATGACATCCCTCATTTGTGTGATTGTCAAAGTTGAACATCTCAGTGATCCAAGGAAACATCTATAAGTGACTCATGGATCACCCTGGGTTAATTGTGGAATATCAAAGTGATGGATAAAAGAGTCAACTTTCAGGGGATGCTTTCTTTTAACCTGATTCAATGGACGACAGGATCTTACGGCAAAGAATTTCGGCTTCCGTGTGGGAAGTTCGAGCACCACAAGATCGGCGGTGAAGGCTACTACGACGCTTTGTCCAAAAATTAACACATCCATGTGTCTGTCCCAAAATGAACCTGTTTCATGGGAACATCATGATACCCTTTGGTAATTTCACATAGCTATGGAAGCCATGGCCATATTTAGAGGTGAATTATATATATATACTTTCAAAAAGTGGGTGATTTTAGACGGCTATGTTAGTTTACCAGAGGGTACCCTCTGGTAATTTAACATAGCTATGGAAAATCACCATTTTCAATGGGTAAATCCACAGTAAATGGCCATTTTCAATAGCTATGTTAAATTACCAGAGGGTAAATCTGTCGATTTGTGCTGCTATTGGAGAACACCACAGCCGCTGTTTTTTCTGGTTGGTGGTAACTTGAACTCTGCAGAATACTTGGATTCGACATGATCGCGCCACCATACAAACGGGGACATCACCCATTGGAAATAGTTGTTTGTGGTTTCAAATATGTATAATTATATAATATGCTAGTAATGGTTTTTCCATTCCCAGTAAAGATAAGCATATGTGCAGGAAGCCTGACTTGTGAATGTGATTTATGCTCAGTCAGCAAATTGCTGCGCTGCTTGTATGTTCAACACAATGTCTTTTAACGTTGAGAAACGATATATTTGACGCTGTACATATATATATATTTGTATCATGAAACATTCAAAATCAATCAGGTGTATCCTTTGGTAAACTAACATGGCTATGGAAAATCACCATCTTAATATATATATATAGGTAGATCAACCAACTAAATGGACCATGGCTTCCATAACTATGTTAGTTCACCAGAGGGTACTGTAATATCCAATGCTATTTTCAATGGATCATTAACATCGCATTATAATCCTGGGTTTGCTTGAGGGGATTTTTTGTTTTCTTCATGGGAAATCCACCATTTGGGGAATATAGTTTTTTCTTTTGGAGCCGCTCAATCAAATCCAAGTAAATGTAATCAGCATATCATATGATAGTTGGTGAGTTACGTTCCCATCATATCCCAGCCACTATTATCCCTATTCAGTCTCCTTTCTACATAATTTGTTGTTTAGAAAATACCCAAATTCCATTGACAAGTCATTGGGCTTTGATTGTATCATTCCTATGTTCAGTCTCCTTTCTACATGATTTAGTTACTATCCCATTGTGGAATGATACAATCAAATCCCAATGACTTGTCTTTTTTTATCCCTTGTATCCGATCCTTCTCGGTGAGTTGTGAAAAACCTATCCCTATTATAAATTTATAATCTCATTATATAGGGATAACCAATAACTATTATTCACTATATCCCTACTATAAACTACTATTATCCTATTATAAACTACTATTATCCCTATTATAACTCAATAAGCCTCATAAATCCCCAAGTTTTCTAACTTCGACTGCGAAAAAACCTCGTCTCTTCTCACCGAGGCAGTGGCGAAGATTGCGGCAATTCGAAACGTGGCGGTCGTGGCGGTGTTGGTTCGTCGGGGATGAGGTTTGGTTCGCCATTGCCGGGATTAATATGTTGTGATAATATGGGGCAAGATGGGATACTATGGTATAATCTGAGATAGTAATGATAATATTTTTCTAAGATGGGATCATATATGGGATAAGATGTGGGATAATATTGGATGTATGATATAAATCATATGTAATATCTATGGCATATCCATAAGATGTATCCATATTTCTATCCCCGTCATGTCCACATCAAATCATCTGAGATCCCATTGAAGCATAGTGGGGACCATACTTGGAGGATCATCCGGTTATGAACTCATTAACTATGAGTATGGTACCATTATTTGATTATTATTATCAATATATAACTATAAAATATGGTAACCATAATTATCTATAGAAACTCTGCTACTCAATATATGATTTGAAGCCCATTAAAATCAATATATACCATTATGGTACCCATTATACTACGAAGTATGGTACCCATTGGTACCCCCAGCAACAGCCCATCGGTTAGCAGGAAGGGTACCAGCTAGGTGGCTGAAGGTGGTGCCACAGTTCGTGAACGCTAGTTGGTTTATAAACATATCCAAAGATACTAGGGTTTATAAAGGGTTTATGGTAGATTTATCATGATATATATATATTTATAGTTGATATTAGTTAATGGGGTTTGTCAACCAACTCAGAACAGGGGAGGCAACACATTATACCCAAAGCAAACACGTGTTTACTGCAAACTTGGACGCTTCAATGCCTGTGATGGCATGATGGCTAGTAACATTTAGGAAATCATTTGATGCGATTTGCAGGTATGAACATCTGATGGGTTTCTGTGAATGCTTACAAGGTTCGGATAGGCCCTTCAGTTGTAAGCTGGTTTATAATGTTTTTTAAATCCCATTAACTCCAGCCAGACTATAGTCATAGTCAGTCATAGTTCCATAAGTTGGTTTATAAGCCCCATTAACTATCATTAACGATCATTGATGAATCATTAACTAATCATTGACTATCATTAATTAAACATTAACTATCATTAACTATCATTGATGACTCATTAATGAATCATTAACGAATTATGAATCAATCATTAACTATCATTAATGAATCATTAAGTATCACTAACTATCACTATTGAATCATTAACTATCATTAACTATCATTAACTATCATTAATGAATCATTAACTATTATTAACTATCATTAACTATCATTAGTGAATCATTAACTATCATTATCTATCGTTTATGAATCATTAACTATCATTAACTATCACTAATGAATCATTAACTTTCATTAATGAATCATCAATGAATAACAATCTGGCATTCATGAATCATTCACTATCATTAACGAATCATTAACGAAAAATTGACTATCATTAATGAATCATTAACTATCATTAACTATCATTAATGATCATTAATGAATCATTCATGAATCATTAACTGTCATTAACTATCATTAATGAATCATTAACTATCATTGATGAATCATTAACTCTCATTGATGAATCATGAGCTATCATTAACTATCATTAATGAATCATTAACTACCATTAACTATCATTGATGAATCATTAACTATCATGAATGAATCATTAACGAACGATTACCTATCATTAATGAGTCCCTATCTATCACCAACTATCATTAACTATCATTAATGAATCATTAATTATCATTGGCTATCATTCACTATCATTAACGTTCATGAACTATCATCAACTATCAGTAATGAATCATTAACCATAGTTATATGTCCAACAAGGGACATTTCTTTTCTTCTCGTTCGCGGCCAAGGAGAGATGATGTGGCAGACAGGGATGAAGCTGACGCCTTCGCGTTTCAAGCGGATTTATTTCCCTGCACACGTTCAGGCGGGTATCACGGTGCTCGGTGGTGCTCCCAAAGCGATAGAAACCATAGGGAAATGGTGATTAACAAGGAACCATGTGGTTTTTTAATGGGATTTTGCTGGTAGCTAAGTGAGTGAACACAAGTTGGTGATTCAACCAGGAAAACTATTTGGAAACATGGAGTTGAATAGGATTTTGAACTGATTTGTGATAGCTAAATTGGTGAACATAACTCCAACAACCATGGTTTATAGGTGATATATCTATAGTTAATGGGTTTATAATTCGTTTATAAGTGGGGGGCACCACCTTGCAGGGGACCATTGGGTAATAAGTAAACCACTCTAAAATACCATGGAAGCAATGGGCTGATTTGGGGGTAGCCCCCGGTTCATGTTAGCTACCCAAGAAAATCATTGTGGATGTAAGAAATGACACATATGAAACCACATATTTGGGATCATGCGATTGGGGTGTATAATATGAGGGGAAGGGAATGGGACTGTGACTGTTTGTGTGTAGATCAGCTGGTTGGATCTTGTGAAGACATCAAGTGCCAACTGCCGACGGCTGGAACTTTGCTGCCGTTTGTTCACTGCTTTGCGCTGAGAAAACTGGAACAGCAGCCGCATTGGAATCGACCTGAAAACACCAGAAATGGGTCGATTTACAGCTGGGATTGGACGAGTTTCGGTCAGGAAAGGCTTGGCAACAAAGTCTTCTTTGAAGTTGCGCTGCATGCTGCTCGGACTCCGTAAATGGGACTCCCCGGAAAACCTGTCCTGTTCGAAACATACCTGCCACACCTGCCATTTTAAGGTCATATTTGATCTGTATCCACAGCATTTAGGATATTTGGGGAACGTTTTTTTTGGGGCGGAACAAAGCACCGTACCACTGCAGGTATCATTCGGTCTCACCGTACCATCCGTACCGTGTCACGCGACACAAAAACCCCGAGCGTCGTTTGACGAGGATGACGACTCCCTGGAGGACGGCGAGACGGCGATGTCCGGAGAACAGGATTTCTGGTTGCGACTGGTGGCTGCCTCAGTGGAGATTTTGGAGATTTTACATGGTACAATCCCAGAAAAAGAGGGATTCTTCGCTAATAAAATAGATGGATTAACATGATACCCTCTGGTAGTTTAACATAGCTATGGAAAATCACCATTTTTAATGGGAAAATCCACTATAAATGGCCATTTTCAATAGCTACGTTAAATTACCAGAGGGTATATCTCTCCACTCCAACGCCAAGTTCATTCGTCCGGGGTTGACTTTTCATTTTCGCTGCGGTGAGGCACACAATGATGGCTACACCTTCCACAAAGACCTACGTGTCTCGCATGGACGGAGATTTCAGCCAGCCATGGGGATTTAAGCAACAAACACTGGGCGAAAAAGGCGCAGAATGGATTCGTTCGTCATGGTCTGTTGCGGTTCACGGGACAAGATGAATCTGTTGACGTAGAAATCCGAAAGGTTCGCGGGACTCGGAAGCCCGCGGATTTTTGGAGGATCAGTTCACAGATCTATACAGTGATTTGGAATGATACCCTTTGGTAAACTAACATAACTATGGAAAATCACCATTTTTAATGGGAAAACTCACTATAAATGACCATTTTCAATAGCTATGTTAGTTTACCAGAGGGTACATGATGATTTTAAACGTAGGTTAATTTTCATGGAATTCAACAATTATTCATCAATACTACGGTGATAGAATCTATAATATAGTGATTTGGGATGCTTACTATATAGTGCTGATATCGAATCTATACTTTCGTGATATAAACTGCTATGGAATCAATCCTATGGAATCAATACTGTAGAAGTGCTGGAAGTATATATTTCCCAAAATTGTCCAACATTAGTACGGAGTATATAGAATCTATATAGATTTTGTATAGAATCTATATAGAATCTATATAATGTGTCTATATATAGAGAATCTCTATAGTATATATATAGAATATATATAGAATATACATGTATTACATGTATATAGAAACTGTATATATATATAGAATCTATATAGATTCTATACTTTAATATTATAAATTACTACTATAGAATCAATCCTATGGAATCAATACTGTAGAAGTGCTAGAAGTATATATTTCCCAAAATTGTCCAACATTAGTACGGAGTATATAGAATCTATATAGATTTTGTAAAGAATCTATATAGAATCTATATAATGTGTATATATATATATAGAGAATCTCTATATTATATATATATATATATAGAATTTATATAGAATATACATGTATTACATGTATATAGAATCTGTATATATATATATATATAGAATCTATATAGATTCTATACTTTAATAATATAAATTACTATTATAGAATCAATCCTATATGGAATCAATACTATGGAAGTGCTAGAAGTATATATTTCCCAAAATTGTCCAACATTATTGAGGATGATATAGAATCTATATAGAATCTGTATAGAATCTATATGGAATCTGTATAGAATCTGTATAGAATCTATATGGAATCTGTATGGAATCTATATAGAACCTATATAGAAATATATAGAATATATATATATACATAGAATAAATATATATATATATACATAATCTACATAGAATGTACATATATATATATAGATTATATTAGACTATATGAATATATATATATACAGAATCTATATAGAATCTCTACATATATATATATATACAGAATATATATATAATATATGTGTATGTTGAATCTATATAGAATATATATATGTATATAATCTATATAGAATCTATATAGAGTCTATTTAGAATCTATAAAGAATCTATAAAATCTATATAAAAGCTATATAGAATTGATATAGAATCTCTATAGAATCTCTCTAGCATATATATATATATATGTAGAATCTCCATATATATATATAGAATCTATATAGAATCTACATAGAATATACATGTATATAGAATCTATATAGAATCTATATAGAATTTATACAGACTCTATATAGAATATACATATATAGAGAATATATATATATATATCATATATAGAATATACATATATATATATATAGAATCTATTTAAATGTAAATATAGATTCTATATATATATATATGTAGAATCTTTATAGAATCTATATAGAATCTTTTTAGACTATATATATCTTAAGAATCTGTATATATATATATTTGTAGAATCTATATAGATTATACATATGTATACAATATATGTATTTATATATTCAGAATCTATATCGAATCTATAAAGCATCTATAAAGAATATCTGTAGAAAATATATATAGAATCTATATAGAATATACATAGACATATAGAATCTATATAAATGTATATATAGAATCTCTATATATATAGATTCTATATGGATTCCATATAGAATCTATATAGAATATATATATATATGGGATCATATATATAGAATCTATATAGAATATGTATATATATAATTTATATATATATATATGTAAACAATCTATATAGAATCTATATAGAATCTTTATAGAATCTATATAGAATCTCTTTAGAATAGGTATATATATATAGACTATACATGTATATATATATATAAATATAGAATCTATATAAATGTATATATAGAATCTCTCTCTCTATATATATATTTATTGAATCTGTACAGAATCTATATAGAATCTAGATATATATATATAGAATCTATACCTATATATATGCATAGAATCTATATAGAGTCTATATAGGATCTTTATAGAACCTATATAGAATCTCTATATATAAATAGAATCTACATAGAATCTATATAGAATCTATATAGAATATACATATACATATATACATAGAATCTATACCTATATTTATATATGCATAGAATCTATATAGAATCTATATAGGATCTTTATAGAACCTATATAGAATCTCTATAGAATAGATATATATATATATATATGTAGAGATTATCTATATATTTATATATATATAGAATCTATATAGAATATACATATATATATATAGAATCTCTATATATATTTAGAACCTATATATATATATATATAGAATCTATATAGAATATACATATATGTAAATATGTAGAATCTATATGGAATCTATATAGAATAAATATATATATATATGTAGAATATCTATATATAGAATCTCTATATATATAGAATCTCCATATATATATATAGAATCTATATAGAATCTATACAGAATATACATATATATATATGGAATCTATATAGAATATACTTTTATTTATATATATAGAATCTATATAGGTTTTTTTAAGAACCTATATAGAATTTCTATAGAATATATATATATATATATCTATAGATTCTCTTTATGTATGGAATCTACATAGAATATACATATATATATAATCTATATATATATATATAATCTATATATATATAATCTCTATATATATATAGAATCTATATATATATAGAATCTATATATAATCTATATAGAATATATGTATATATATATATATATAGAATCTATACTATAGTAATATATCACTACTGTAGTTATATTTAGTTTGAAGGATGGATGATTCACGGCGCCAAGGTCATGCGGTGAGTGCCTTGCAGGGAACCAGTCGGACCATGGCCAGGGCTCTGCTGGCCACCGAGGCGGCGGCTTTTGTTTACCGATGTTCACCATCCCAAATGGCTTTTGTTTACCGATGTTTAGCGAAAAAGGGCATATAATCTAGAGATATAGGGGATATGATCTAGATATAGGGGATATGATCTATATATAAATAATTCGGCTATATTTTTCATTTTTTTTTTTCAAACCTGAATTTAGGGTTTGATCTTGGAATTGAGCCAGATATATAATTTTTAGATAGTCCAGTATAAATCAGTATACATCAGCGATGACGATCAAGCCTAAGCCCTTTTGTTCCAGACAGGAGATGCATGTTGGGTTGTAAATGGATTCAACCATTGTTTATGGGGTTCTGACATTTTTTGACCATCCAAACTCCGAATTTAAGCCTTGAAACTGGGGATCTACTGTGACAAATCATTGTCGATGAGTTATTCTTTACCCTCCGGTGTCATCAAACATGGCAATGGAAAATACTCTATTTATAGCAGTGATTTTTTCAAATGAAACCCCCATTTCTAGTGGATTTGTGATTTTCCTATTGAAACCCCCATTTCTAGTGGATTTGCCAGCTTGCCACGTTTGATGACACCGGAGGGTATGGGGGGTTTTGAACCTACCTGGTTTAAGATTATGAACTGCCCGCACAAAGGGAATCCCGTTCTCGTTTGCAACCAGGATTAAAAAAATCGTGACGTTGCAGGGCTTTTCAAAACACTGCCCGCATATTGCGGATCATTTTGGGATGACAATGTGTATATATACATATATACACGGTGTGTACATATATATATATATGCACAGTATATCTATGATATCATAATGAATCAACATGATCAGCCATTGGCTTCAGCTAGGCCTCAGATCACACTCCCTGAAAAGAAACCAGCAATTTTTTTTCCCCAAACCGAAAAGACAATTGCTGGGTTATATTATTATCGAAGGAAGTTTAGAAGTCAAACTTCCGACAATATGGACAGATGAAAAGCAGAGATGGGAAGAGTCAGAGAAGAGAAGAAGAAAGAATATCAAAAAAGAGCAAGTCTCAGAAGAAAGAAGATCGCGAAAAGGTAGGAAAGTCGCGAAACACTGTGTTTTTCGAATGGTTTGTGGCTCCGGAGGGTCGAAAAGTAGGCTCGCTAAAGTGGCGGGTGCGGAGCCAGCTGGCCAGATGAGAGATGAAAAATTGCACGCCGTTGTGGCGAGAAGCACATTTCCAAGTCAAAATGTACAAAGCACCTCAGCTTCGGAGCACTTTTAGAAGTTGCGATGTCGAAAAAGTGCACGCCGTTGTGGCGCGAAACACATTTGCAAGTGGAAAAGCTCACGTTCGGAGCACTTTTGGACGTTGAGATGTCGAAAAAGTGCACGCCGTTGTGGCGCGAAGCACATTTCGAAGTCAAAGTGTACCATTTTCGGACCACTTGGAAGTTGAGATGTCGCAAAAGTGCACGCCGTTGTGGCGCGAAGCACATTTCGAAGTCAAAATGTTAAAAGCACCACATGTTCGGACCACTTTTGGACGTTTAGATGTCGTTTCGCGTGGCAGGCCAAGGGATTATGCACCTGGTCAAAAGTGAGCAAAACGTGAGGGTTTTGTAGCATTTCCAAAAACGATGGCAGGTGTGGGACATTTGAAGAGGATCTGCAAAGATGCATTTTCCGTGGCAGGCGCAGTACAAAAGACATGTTCATGAGAGATGTTAGGTCAGGGCGCTGATTTCCTGAGAGGGGTTGCATTTTGGAGCATCAGATCTGTAGGTTTGCTAAGATGATTTTGCGTGACAGGTGCAGCACTTCGTATGACCTGGCCTCACTTTTTCGTGGCAGGCGCAGTACTTTAGACAGGTGGAATGGAAAAATCGCAGGACGCATTGGTACGAGGCCGTCAGCTTTGCACTCAACTTTCCATTTTTGAAGGAAGTCTCCCACAATGCTTCATTTTTGATGTTGTCAACTCCCAAAATTGAGGAAGTCTCGCAGAATGTTGTAAAGTTCAAAAATTGAGGAAGTCTCGCAGAATTGTTTCGTTTTTGATGTTGTCAACTTCAAAAATCGAGGAAGTCTCGCAGAATTGCTGCGTTTTCAAGCTTGCAGACAGACAGACAGACAGACAGACAGACAGACAGACAGACAGATAGATAGATAGATAGACAATTACAACTACAACAACGACAACTACCACTGCACTACACTGCACTACCGCTACAACTACAAATGCAAATATACTACGCTACATGAATCATTACACTACACTAATTTCACTACACTACGCTAATTACATCTAATTACACTACGCCACACCAATTACACTAACAACAACAACAACAACAACAACCAAAAAAACAACAACAACAACAACTACTACTACTTCTTCTTCTTCTACTACTACTACTACGACGACGACGACGACTACGACTACGACGATGACTACGACTACGACTACGACGACGACTCGACGACTACTACTACTGCTACTGCTACTACTACTACTACTGCTACTACTACTACTACTAATAACACCGCAGCTACAACTACAATTACAACTACCCTACACTACACTAATTACACGGCAACACACTACAACTACAAATACAACTAGAACGACACTACGCTACATTACACAACACTACACTGCACTGATTACATTGCATTACACTACAACTACAACTGCAGCGGCAACTGCAACTACAACTACACCTCCCACTACATTACACTACACTACACTACACTACACTACACTACACTACACTACACTACACTACACTACACTACACTACACATACTACACCACACTACACCACACTACACTACACCACACTACACTACACTACAGTACACTACACTGCACTAGGCATACTGCACTACACTACATTACGCTACACTACGCTAATTACACCGTCTACGCTACAACTACAATTTCACTACGCTACATGAATTACACTGCACTACACTACAACTACAATTGCACTACCTTACGCTAGACTACACTACACTATACCACACTACACTACACAACACTACACGAATACAACTGCAACTGCACTTGCAAATGCGCTAGCTACACTACATTACAGCTACAGCTCCGCTACGTTACGCTACAGTACAACTACAGCTACAACTGCAACTACAACTACAACTGCACAACACCACACTACATCCAGCAGTTGTGGTAAGATGACCACTGCAACCATTGCAACCACTCCAAAAAACACAACTCCAACCACCTGTCGGTCCATCAGTGGATTCGCTCTGCCATCCGTGACTCATAACAACCAATCTCTCCTATAGGTTTCCTATTTTGAGTTCCGATCCGGAGAGCCACCCAAAAGTCGGATTCGAGTCGGTTTCGGGTTTCGGGTTTCGGGTTTCGGGTTTCGGGTTTCGGGTTTCGGGTTTCGTCGATTGAAACCAACTTTCGCTGTCGGTTTCGGGTTTCGGGTTTCGGGTTTCGTCGATTGAAACCCACTTTCGCTGTCGGTTTTGGGTTTCGGGTTTCGGGTTTCGTCACTTGAAACCAACTTTCGCTGTCCGTTTCGGGTTTCGGGTTTCGGGTTTCGTCGATTGAAACCCACTTTCGCTGTCGGTTTCGGGTTTCGGGTTTCGGGTTTCGCCGATTGAAACCCACTTTCGCTGTCGGTTTCGGGTTTCGGGTTTCGGGTTTCGTCGCTTGAAACCAACTTTCGCTGTCGGTTTCGGGTTTCGGGTTTCGGGTTTCGATTGAAACCCACTTTTGCTGTCGGTTTCGGGTTTCGGGTTTCGGGTTTCGGGTTTCGTCGCCTGAAACCAACTTTCGCTGTCGGTTTCGGGATTCGGGTTTCGGGTTTCGTCTATTGAAGCTAACTTTAGCTGTCCGTTTCGGGTTTCGGGTTTCGTAGGTCGAAACCACCTTTAGATTCACCAGTACGATGCCGATCTCACATCACCCAAGTGTCGTTCTCCATGCAGTCGTCAAAAACAAGAGCGGTGAGTGACAAGCGCCTGAAAAGGTCAGAGAGGAGAAACGGCAACGGTTTGGGGGAAACCTGCCAGCATCCGTAAGTAGCTGTCACTGAGTGGATTAGATTAGATTAGGTAGATTAGATTAAATCAGATAGATTAAACTAGATTAGATTAGAAATAGATTAGATTAGGTAGATTAGATTAGAATTGGATTAGATTAGGTAGATTATATTAGATTAGATTAGATTAGATTAGATTAGGTAGAGTAGATCAGATTAGATTAGGTAGATTAGATTAGATTAGATTAGATTAGATTAGGTAGATTAGATTAGATTAGATAGATTAAACTAGATTAGAATTAGAGTAGGTTAGGTAGATTAGATTAGGTTAGACTATATAGATGAGATGAGATTAGAATTATATTAGATTAGATTAAATTAGGTAGATTAAATTAGATTAGATTAGATAGATTAGATTAGGTTAGATTAGATTAGTTGGATAGATATGATATGATATGATATGATATCATTAGATTAGATTAGAAATATTAGATTAGAAATATTAGATTAGGTAGATTAGATTAGATTGGAATAAGAATTATTATAGAATAGGTAGGTTAGATTAGATTAGATAGATTAGATTAGATTGATTAGATTAGATTAGTTTTGGTTAGATTAGAATCTGATTTGATTAGGTAGATAAGATTAGATTAGAATTAGATTACTTAGATAGATAGATTAGGTTAGATTAGGTAGATTAGATTATGTTAGGTAGATTAGGTTAGATTAGATTAGAATTAGATTCGATTAGGTAGAGTAGATAAGATTAGATAGGTTAAACTAGATTAGAATTAGATTAGATTAGGTAGATGAAATTAGATTTGATTAGATTAGATTAGATAGATAAGATTATAAATAGATTAGATTAGGTAGATTAGATTAGATTAGATTAGATTAGATTAGATTAGAATTGGATTAAATTAGGTAGATTATATTAGATTAGATTAGGATAGATTAGGTAGATTAGAACAAATTAGATAGATTAGATAGATTAGATTAGGTAGATTAGATTAGATTAGAATTAGATTAGATTAGGTAGATTAGATTAGATTAGATGAGATTAGATTAGACTAGAATAGGTAGATTAGATCAGATTAGATTAGATTAGATTTGGTAGAAGATTAGATAGATTAAACTAGATTTGAATTAGAGCAGGTTAGGTAGATGAGATTAGGTTAGACTATATAGATGAGATTAGATTTTAATTAGATTTGATTAGATTAGATTAGATTAGGTAGATTAAATATGATTAAATTTGAATGGAATTAGATTTGAATTAGATTAGTTAGATAGATAGATTAGATTAGATTAGGTAGATTAGTTTAGATTAGATTAGATTAGGTAGATTGGATTAGATTAGATAGACTAGATTAGATTAGATAGAATAGATTAGGTTAGATTAGATTAGATAGATTAGATTAGATAGATTAGATCAGATTAGATTAGATTAGATAGATGATTAGATAGACTGATTAGATTAGATTAGATTAGTTAGATCTAGATTAGATAAGATCTGTCCTGGGGAAGTTAAGTCTTCAGAGTCGGTTTCGGGTTTCGCGTTTCGGGTTTCGCAGTTCGAAACCAACTTTAACAGTCGGTTTCGGGTTTCGGGTTTCGGGTTTCGGGTTACGATCGGTCCTGGGGAAGTTAAGTCTTCGGGTTTCGGGTTTCGGGTTTCGGGTTTCGCAGTTCGAAACCAACTTTAACAGTCGGTTTCGGGTTTCGGGTTACGATCGGTCCTGGGGAAGTTAAGTCTTCAGAGTCGGTTTCGGGTTTCGGGTTTCGGGTTTCGGGTTTCGGGTTTCGGTCGGTCCCTGGGGAAGTTAAGTCTTCAGAGTCGGTTTCGGGTTTCGGGTTTCGGGTTTCGCAGTTCGAAACCAACTTTAACAGTCGGTTTCGGGTTTCGGGTTTCGGGTTTCGGGTTTCGCTGGTCGAAACCAACTCTGCAGACCTCTCTCCGGATCACGTCTCCCTATTTTTGAAACTTCCGCCTCCGCCCTGTGCGGTACTACTGGTACATTAAACAGCTATATCAGTGGAAGATCAGTCACATTCAACAGATTTATCAGTTTTTGCCGTTATATCAGCTATATATATATACCAGTTATATGGTTATTATTATTATTATCATTAAATAACTACATTCATCAGTGAAATATCAGTGAAATCTGACATGCCCCCATGACTTCCCATGGATCGGTTTTCTCGTTTTCTTCCCATCTCCGAAGGCGATGTACCGTGCTGAGACCTGTTGCCTGGGAGGAGTGATGGTGAAGATGGCCCGGTGCCGTGGTGACAGATATCGACAGGAAGATGGGAGGACCAATTTTTCACCATGGGGTAACATGTTGTGAACATGGAATGTATCATCTGTGTATATATATAAATATATATATGTATACATGTATATGTATACATGTATATGTATATGTATATATATATGTTTACGTATGTACATATATATATATATACATACATATACACATATATATATACATATATGTATATCAGGCAATATAGGTTGTAGAATATGGCTTTAGCCAGCTGAAATGGGAACAATTATATAAATTATATATATATATACATATAGTATGAGCAGTGAGTGGCTGCAAGACAGCCCTGTTGGTTGATGATTATATCTATTCAATAGGGACTTTAACCAGTAAAATGTGGGATGGTTGGTTGATAAATGATGGTTGGTTGATGATGTTTTTTGGGTTCTACGTATATTGTACATTATCGTCATCCATTCTGGAACCTCTATGAACCAACAACAGTGTACTGGAATGTCAAAAACCTATCGGAAATCTACTAGAATATGTGGATGATAGAGATTTCTGACACTTGTAATTGTGGAAACATTTGAGAACATGTTTGAAACCTATTGCAAAATCTCCAAAAATGATGGAAACCATTTGGGTGGGAACATCTGGGGATGTTTATTGGAAAATCTATTATAACATTCGGATGATTGTTGGAAAATACCCCACAGATACTGATCGGATTATGGGGTGCCCAGTTCATGGATTATGACAATCACGCTCTATAGCAGGTAGCATAACCCAAAAAACATCAAGCAATTGAGGTTTTTGAAATTGCCCATTTGGGATCCTACTTGGGTGTGCGGGACACGGTATCGAAGTGGTTCTTAAGCTAACTGGGGTCTATCCCCACAGACAACTACAACCGGCTTCGAATATGTTTGTTGGTCACTTACTAAGTGTCCTCTGCACGTCCAAGTAGCTTGCTTGAAGGATGAGCATCCATAGGTACTTGTTTATGGCCACCTCCAGATAGAAAAGTTGGACACCTGGAAAAATTTACAGGGGAAACATCATCTGTATTCTATTTCATCCTGGAAAATCCTGGAAACACTTTTTATTGGGGGTTGCTCTGCTATGCTCAGGTTGTGAAAGAGAGGGTACTGATCAGGTTGTGATCTATTTATTGAATATATTGGCACGTTGCATGTTTTCAATGTGATAGTATGGTTGCGGATGAAAATTCAGGAAAGGGCCCTGGGAAGTGTGGATGGTGATTTTTAGGCGGGTAAACCGTAAACCATTCCAATTTTGGGGTTGCCCAAGTTCGACCTGCACTTCTATACCCCCAACTAATTACTGGTAGCTATTTTTATAGGGAAAGTGATGATAAACCATAGGGTTTTTGGGATATCCTATTCTCAGCTCTGAGGAAAGTCTGTGACTTCTGTGGCTGGCCTTAGATGGCATATGAAGAGGAGAGGGGAAGATTCACGTGACGACCAAAGTGATTCCATTCTTGTGATGCCTATGACATCATGAAGCTGGAAGGACAACACACACTCAAACTTGACCATGACTGGTTGGTGGTTTGGACCATTTTTTATTTTTCCATATATTGGGGATAATAACCCCAACTGACTAATATTTTTCAGAGGGGTTGAAACCACCAACCAGATTTGTTCATGTCCAAGCAACAATGTATCGCATTCTAGACTGAGACCATGTACGCATTGTCAGGTTGGAGGTAAATGGCAATGGACATTGGCTAGTCTTGTACGGAAATCATTGAAGGGGCGCCATAAGCCATAGATTTTTTTGTACCTCATGCAATCTTCAATATGATGAGGTCTTTTTGAATGATTGAGTCCAGCTTGGTTGCTCTGCTTTGTGCTGCGAACTTTGCAGGAGAAGGGGCCATCATTGTTTTTTTCGCGATGGGATGTTTGATCACCTGTCTTCCGGTGAGCTGAGATGCATTTGAAGCTCTCGCCTGTTGGTGTGTTTTTTGCCTCTGAACCGCTTGATTCAACGTTTTGCGGCGGAGGCGAAAACCGGACAATTCGACACTCAGCCATCACCGGTGCGTACAGCCTTTCAGTAGAGCCCCAATTCTCTTGAGCTAGCGAACCTAGATGACAAAAAGCAGTTGCAGCAATGCAAGAGGCGGAGGAGAGTAGAGTGAGTTGCGAGTTTAAGACTCTTCGAAGAATGAGGTTATACTTGCAAATACTTTGTACATATATATATATTATATACACATAAATGGATGTTTCCTGAAGTGGTACCCCAAAACTATTGCTTCCCCCCATCAGTCACGCTAGGTGGGTGAGCAGGGAGCAATTCCTGGACATGCAGAGGTCCTATGATCGCGAGGCAGGGTGGTGAGACAGTGATGTGTGTTGCTTTATGAAGCCCATTCACATCCATCAACCATATAGGTGTATATATATATAGGTATATTAACTGTGTAAACCCATAGTTAGCCGAGATATAAATCAAGCTATCTACATTTTGGGGTAAAACGATGTGTTTCAGACAAATTGTTTCCAAATAAAATTTTCCCGTAAACAAATTCCATTTTTTCCGCTGCATTTTAATCAAGGAACAAGTCAACACGGACAACAGAAATAACGATAGATTCCGCTCTCCAGCTGGCAAATTGCCATCAGCTTCAGTTGGGGTTGGCCGTTTGATTCCGAAATTGTCATTATATCAAAATCAAACAAACCATAGATTGAATACTCCATAGATTGAATCTGTATATCCCCAACATTGTCATTTTAAGAAAATTTTAAGAGGAAACATGATGATTCACCAGTGGATGGACTGGCGTTTTTTGCAACCTCCAAAAAGATAGACACGTAATTTCCTGCTAAAATAGTCAGACATGTATATATATATATATTTTGACTTTTTATGAACTAGTTTTTACGTATATATATATATATACATCTTTTCAGATGTACATTGTATGAAGTAAAGATATTAACTATGTATATATATATCAGCTAGCATTATACCATTATATTTAAATAGTTATAAACTACATATATATATACTGTATATACTACATATATATATATACTACATATATATACTACATATATATACTACATATATATATATACTACATATATATATATATTACATATATATATATAT